CTGTTATTTAAAAATAGAATAACTTATGCCACTCAAGAACTGTCTAAGATCATTTTTGTAACTAGTTGTATCAGTTGTTCCACAATATACAATAATTATACATTTGTTAATTAGATAAATTAGCTTCCATTAGGGCCAAATGCTGAACTGTACACCTGTCACACTCTTTATATAAGTAGAGCATGATCTCATAAATTGTGGATACATTTTTAATGTGTGATGAGAACTTTTTAAATATTTTTAAAAAATGTGTGTGGTGATGGAAATGACAGGGCGGTGGTGGAAATGACAGGGTGTTGTGGAAATGACAATGAACTAACGTGAATGTATAGAAACAGTAGAGATATTTATTAGAAACATTTTTAAACTCACCACACTCATTAAACTCAATTCACAAAGTCATTAAACATAACCACACCTGTTTTAGTGTACTGCTGAGTCTGATGTATAAAACTGATTTGTCTCACAGATGAACGGTTACAATGCATACTAAAATAAAAATAGATACAAATGAAATCAATTAATGTTAAAGTAATATAATTTAGAAATAAAAAATAATATCATCCATCCATACATCTTCTTCCGCTCATCCGGGGCCGGGTCGCGGAGGCAGCAGTCTAAGCAGAGATGCCCAGACTTCCCTCTCCCTAGACACTTCCTCCAGCTCTTCCGGGGGAATACTGAGGCGTTCCAGGCCAGCCGGGAGACATAATCCCTCCAGCGTGTACTAGGTCTTCCCCGGGGTCTCCTCCCGGTGGGACGCACCCGGAACACCTTCCCGGGAAGGCGTCAGGGAGGCATCCGGAACAGATGCCTGAGCCACCTCAGCTGGCCCCTCTCAATGTGAAGGAGCAGTGGCTCTACTCTGAGCTCCTCCCTAGTGACCGAGCTCCTCACCTTATCTCTAAGGGATCGCTCAGCCACCCTGTGGAGAAAGCTCATTTCGGCCACCTGTATCCTGGATCTTGTCCTTTCGGTTATGACCCACAGCTCATGACCATAGGTGAGAATATGAACTAAGATCGACCGGTAAATCGAGAGCTTTGCCTTGCAGCTCAGCTCCTTCTTCACCACAACAGACCGTTACATCGACCACGTTACTGCAGAAGCTGCACCAATCCGTCTGTCAATCTCCCGTTCCATCCTCCCCTCACTCGTGAACAAGACCCCAGGATATTTGAACTCCTTCACTTGAGGCAGGAACTCTCCACCAACCTGAAGTGGGCAAGCCACCCTTTTCCGACTGAAAACCATGGCCTCGGACTGTAGGTGCTGATTCTCATCCCAGCCACTTCACACTCGGCTGCAAACCGTCCCAGTGCACGCTGAAGGTCCTGGACTGAAGGGGCCAGCACGACAACATCTCCACAAAGAGCAGAGACGAAATCATGTGGTCCAGAAACCTGACACCCTCCAGCCCCTGGCTGCGCCTAGAAATTCTGTCCATAAAAATTATGAACAGAACCGGTGACAAAGGGCAGCCCTGCCGGAGTCCAACATGCACCGGGAACAAGTCTGACTTACTGCCGGCAATGCGAACCAAGCTTCTGCTCCGGTCGTACAAGGACCGGAGAGCCCTTAGAAGAGCAGAGGGCTCCGGACCTCCCGGAGCACCCTCCACATGACGCCTTGAGGGACACAGTCGAATGCCTTCTCCAAATCCACAAAGCACATGTGGATTGGTTGGACGAACTCCCATGCACCCTCCAGCACCCTGTAGAGGGTATAGAGCTGGTCCAGTGTTTCACAACCGGGCCAAAAACCGCACTGTTCATCCTGAATCAGAGGTTCTACAATAGACCGAATTCTCCTCTCCAGTACCCTGGCATAGACTTTACATCCGTACATCCCCCTGTAGTTGGAACACACAACTACATCCCCTACATCCCCTTCTTGAAAAGGGGGACCACCACCACTGTCTGCCAGTCCAGAGGTACTGTCTCCGACCGCCACGTGATGCTGCAGAGGCGTGTCAGCCAAGACAGCCCACAATATCCAGAGACTTGAGGTCCTCAGGGCAGATCTCATCCACCCCCGTTGCCTTGCCACCGAGGAGTTTCTTGACTACCTCTGTGACTTCAGCTTGGGTGATGGTTGAGTCCAACTCCGAGCCCTCAGCCTCTGCTTCCTCAATGGATGATGGGTTGGTGGGATTGAGGAAATCCTCGAAGTATTCCTTCCACTGTCCGACGACATCCCCAGTTGAGGTCAACAGCTGCCCACCTCCACTGTAAACAGTGTTGGTAAGGCACTGCTTCCCCCTCCTGAGGCGCCGGACGGTTTGCCAGAATCACTTCGAGGTCAGCCGGTAGTCCTTCTCCATGGCCTCACCGAACTGATCATTAGGGTACTCAAACCCCTCCACCACGAAAAGGTGGCAGTTCAAGGAGGAGGGAGATATATATAAATAATATCATAATATAAATATAAAAAGTATTGTAATACATTATAATATATAAAATACTACACAAATCTACTCTTGCAATCCATATCAATTGCACTTTGTAACCATAAATGTCATTTCCACCACGCACAGAGGGCAGTGTGGTGGAAATGACTGTGGTGGAAGTGACATTTCTGTAGTTTTTTGTGAAAAAATTTAAGATAGCTTCACTGATTAACTTTTAATTAATACTTAGCAATTCATGTTTGCAAAATACTCTTATTTAACTTTAAAAAAGTACTTTTTAAAAACACCCTTGAAGGTACAGCATGTTTGGAAATGACGTAGAATAAATATATTAACTGCTCAAGCAATATTTACCTTGATTTTTCTTCTTTTGTACTTGATGAAAATTTAAATTGCCTCCATATCCAAAATGTGCTCTGATGTCACTGAACATTTCCATAGAAACCATCTAAACAATCATTCACACAAACTTTTTTAAGGGACATTACAGTGTTGTGGTGGAAATGACACCAATGTGCTACAGCTATATTTTCTATAAAAAGTAATATTGATAGTGGTCTCATATTAAATACAATAATGTATTTTAATAATTTTACTAGTGCTTAATTTAGGAATATTAATAGTTACCAGATGAGTCATATTTTTAAACTGTATTTTCATTGTTGAAGTTAAAAAGTCTGGGTGTGCTACAAGGAGAAAACAGTGATTTTGACACCTATAAGGAGGTTAAAAAGTATGAAAAAATCATAATAGGTAGGTAGTAAAAAGTTTTTAAGGTGGTTTTATTGCTACTTTATTTCAATTGTGAGATAAAAAGTCGCAATTATTTTTTTTATTCAGTGGCGGAAAGAAGCTTCCATAGTAACATGCCTTAAAGTCTAGGCTACAAAAAGGTTATTGAACAATTCCACCATTATTGCTCAGGAAAAAAAGCTATTGTTTAAAATACTTTAACCTTTTGTGATAAATATGCAACGTTGTGACAAAAGGAACCTGTTATTGTGGCTTTAAAAATTGTATCAGTTTGTGAAAGTATCAAACCATTGCAATGGAAACTGTAATGAATAAATTTAAATGTAGTATTATGACTTCCTTTTCAGACAGACACAACAAATCGAATGAATTCAGCTTGATGGTGTCCCAATCAACTTGAATTCACCCTTTTTTAGTTATAAGCATGCAGTTATTACTAATACCAAGGTATTCTTTAACATACCTTTAATATACTAAAGCTTTTATGGATAATGTTGAAATTACAGTTGATCCATTTATTATATGTAGTAGCCTACATCTAATATGTAGTACATGCCTGACACAAGATGTGCTACTCATGATAAAGGTGATGTTAAGGGTAGCTTAAGCAGAAAATAATTCATGACATCTTAAATTCCTGGCAGGATATCCTGAGAAGATAGGTCATATTTACAAAACAGTGAATCACTGTCATTTTGCCATTTACAGAGATAAACACACGAGGCATTGAGAAGTTAAATCTGGAAGGAAAGAAAAAAAACAGAACACTGTCTAACAGAACAGAATCCCTTTATTCAAGTATGAAAATGTAAAGCACATTTTTATTTGTAGCATACAATTCAATTATGTAATACAAATCAACACAACTATAAAGGCAAATTATTTAATTTGAACAATCAGTCATCTGAAGAGGTCTATTTTATAAATCTGATTTTGAAGTGCATAGAATTTTGCATGACAGTAACATTTAAGACCTACTAATCCTGATTGAATTGGTCCTTAATAACATAAAGGTGGGAGTACGAGAATATGGTATAAAAGAAAAACTCAAATCTGATACTGTTTTCTGTTTAAAGATACTGTAAAACGTAATCAACAACACAAAAACCTTCTTAACACAAAGTAAATGTTTTGGTTTGCGCAAAACTATCTGAGACTTGGTTTCTAAAGTATGATGCATTTTGCTTAAAGCTGAAAGACTGCTATAAAGTTAATGCTTCATATTGATCAGAACACAGTTTAACCAATACTAATGAGTAATAGTATACTTAGTAATAACAGGCTGTGACCTTTAGCAGAAGGCACAATAACATTTCAATGAGAGAAATTCAAAACAAATCTGAAAAAAACTGCTTCATGAATGACAACCGCCATTTGGGTGAATCTCACGAACCCGGGTCATATCTCACACAAAAATCAAAAGAAAAAATTAATTTACATTTGGTATTTGGAAAGAAAATAAAGCCAATTATTTGTGTGTGTGTTGCATTGTGTTAGTTATTATAAACAATGTATAAAATAATTTCAGACTTTTTTTGCGATCAAATGTAATTATTTCAGATATTTAATTTATTTCTTTGAAGTAAAAGTAAAATCTTTAATTTGTGACAAAAAAATTATAATTGTATTACTGTTTCACTGTAATATAACAATATGCTGTGTTATATTAAAGAAAGACATCGAGAATAATGGGTATAACAAAACAAACAAAAACGTAATGGCACTAAAATAAGCTAAATGCAATATATAAATATCACTTTTTTTTTTCTTTTGATTTTAGAGTTAAATGTGACCTGCATGTTTTTGTGAGAGTCATTTGCTGTGTTATTAAAAAATGTTCTACTTCAGCAAACTTTGTTTGGATGATTCTGCTGATTCTTCACAATAAAATCAGTGCTAGGCTTTTCAGTCTGAGGCATAAACACAATGGTAACAGCAAAGTTTTGAGCTATTATGCTTTTAGTTTGGTTTAAGTGGTTCACACGCCCTTTCATTTTGACATCATTTTATATATACACGTGACAGAAGTTTTAACATCCAAAATGGATGAACTCAAAAATCTGTAAACAGCATAAAAATACAAACTGGGGAAAACTGAATCCAATGAGCAGAAAGCAAAAAATATTACTTTTTATGCACATCTTTTTTAAATAAAAAACAATAATGGAAGTTATAAAGGATGAAAGCTAGGACAAACTGAAATCGACTTGCATCTCTTTTAATAAGACCTTATTATTAGAAAGGCCCACAAATAACCTCTCTAGATCCTGCACTCTGGAAGATCAGGCAGAATCCACTTTAAATTCTCATAATAAAAAGATTACCTACATTGCAAAGTGCCTCTTAGTGCTGATTACTAGAGAGAGAAAAAAAAGTTGTATGGGATTGTCCCAGCTGTACCGATTCAACTGTACTATGCCATTTGTCTCCACCCAGATGTTACCATAAACTAAAAAGGTTATTAAGCATAGTTAAGATGGAAGAAACAGAATTAGAAGAGGGAGGCTAGCAGCCTTGTGATTCTAACCTGAAAAAAAGGGAAAAGGAAGGTTGTACTGCAGATATGGAAACGTGTACACCTTCACATTCACACTTTAGCAGTCCAGTGGGTATCTGAAACTCAGCTGAGAATATTGAACAATCTGTCTCAGTAAAGTGCACCCCAGGTTTGTACCACAGAAATACTGTATTCACTCAGGTAAACTAAAGAACAAAGCTAAAGATTGAAATTAAACATTGTGAAAACGGCGTCCTGCAGCAGATGACTGTGGCTTGTTTTCGACACAGTGGGTTTGTGAAAAGACTGGTCAAGCGCACACGTTTGCCATCCTTTTGAAACTTCTCAAGTGCTAGAAACAAATCAATCAGCCGTTATCCCTTTCTCGCGTAGTTCCTCTGTCACCCGCACAAGGTATGTAGGATCTGGATAACCAAAGCTGGAAAAAAGAAAATCAATATTAAGTTAAATTAAATTAAAGCTGAAGTTAGAAAGCTAAAATGTTTCTCTATTGTTCCATATTAAAAGGTATTAAATTAATGTATTATCCAATGTACAAGTTTACACTACCGTTCAAAAGTATTTAGTAATTTTATTCAGCAAGAATACATTCAATTGAAAGACGATTGACAGCACAGGCATTTATATTGCTACAAAATATTTCTATGTCAAATAAATGCTGTCATTTTGATCATGTAACACTGAAGACTGGAGTAATGCTGAAAAATCAGCTTTGGCTTCACAGGAATAAATAACATTTTGAAATATTTAAAGCTGCAGTCCGTAGCTTTTTGGGGGTTAAAAATGATCCAAAATACATATTTGAAAAAATACATAAACGGCCAGTGTTCAAAACCATCTGCTTGCCTTAGCTCGATTCAAAGCGGTAAGCTTGTAATAATGTTTTTAACTCCAGTGGTACTGGTGGATTTCCGCGGGAGATTCGAGCATGTCTTTGGGTCATTACGTCACATCTGTACACATAAAGAAGGAGTCTCGGCTAGTCGGCTATATCGTGTGTGAGGATGTTGGAGGTGGAGATTTATAGCCTTTTCTCACAGCACTTGATATAATTAAACTTATCAATTTGATGGCGGATCCAGAAAGGTTCAAACGACAATCACCAGTGACAACTGGAGACTCACCCGTTGTAAAATAAAATGCAGAAGACTTTGTTCAAACTTCGGAGTGGCTACATGAAAAAAGAGACTGCAACCGGACCCATGCGAAAACAAGGATACATATCGGAAGGACATTACATGTAGTCACGCAATGCTGACGTTGTTAACATTAACAATTTGAGAACAATTAAGTATAATTTGCACGGTTTTGCGTGATATGATAAGCGATTTTTAGATTTAATCAGCGCGATTTACTGCAATGTCAGAACCAGAACAAAAGAGGATGTTACTTGCTTGTTCAGATTACTTTTTCCGGTGAAAATTATTATGTTGGTCATACTTCCAAAAAGAATAATCTGTGATTCTGAATGCCAGTATCCACACCGGTGCGGTGACTGACAGCCGCACACTATCCTCAAACATTGTGTTCATCCGCGCTGTGCCGTGTCGAGGCGATGTCGAAGTACAACTCACGTAAAGTTGATAATTCCGCGAATGACTGCAATTGCAGATTTCGAACAGAGATGGCGACAAAGAGGAAAAACTGCGGACTGCAGCTTTAAATACAAAACAGTTATTTGAAACGGTAATAATATTGCATGTTTTAACAGTACATTTGAACAAATAAATGTAGCCTTTAAAAAAAGACTTCTTTAAAAAAAACTTTAAAAAAAAATCTTACCAACCCCAATTTTTTTAACAGTAGTGTATCTCTGCACAGCCTTCATTATTATTATTTTAATGGCTTTGTAAATTATGTAAATAAATTGTTAAATGAATGTGGTATTATATGCATCATTATAGGCCAGGTTTAAAATGCAACACGTAGCAAAATGTTATATTGTGTACCGGTATACAATATTTACAATATGTAGTAACATCTCTGTCCTTGGCCAGAAAAAAAAAAAAAAACTTGTAAATGTATTTCATATTAGAACGATCACGATATAAAGGTGCTATAGGATGGAAAATGTAGCTGGCATCTCCTCAAGCCTCTGTTTGGCTTATTAGAATTAATCAGACAAACATATGGCAACATGAAACGTGTCACTAAAACATTTCCTCTATTTTTTTCTATGAAAGCTGATCATGGTTTCAGGCATTTTTTACCCAAGTCGCTCTGATCATAAAGGTTTAGTACATCAGAATGTATTAGAACCTCATAAATCTACAGCAAAAAAGTTAACAATTTAGTGCGTCATTTAATATTTGGATTTTTGAATATATATTTTGCATTTTTGCATATTTTTAACAGCTTTAAATAAAAAAAATGATGTTCAAGTCAAAAGGCAATTCCAGTGAAGAGATGCCTGTGGTATAACTGATTTTCCCAGATATAATTTAGCAAGCAACCATTAAATTGCATACCATCGTGGTCCGCCCCATATGGAGGTCTTGTGGTGGATATCATTCCAGGTAATAACGTTATGCATGCCAGTGGTCATAGAGGTGCCTATGGTAAAGATCAGGCGCTGCTCAAATGCTCGTCGCAGCATGCAGAGAACACGGTTTCCCTCAGGGCTGTCTGGCAGGTATGCCACCCGGTCTGTGCCTGGGTACCTCACCCCAGGGTTTGGGTGCTCTTGCTGAAAGAATTTTAAAACATAATAGTGTGTGATTACAGTTTGTGTGTGGAATTTTTATGTGCTATATAATGAAATTTGGTCTGCGGTTATCTGAATGCAAAACACTTGGCTGTTGTAATCCGCCTGTAAGCAGTACTTACCGCTTGCAAACCGGGAGGGAAACTGTAAATAATGCATATGCAGCCATAACCTTCATGGCCAGGCAACTCCAGGTCTTGGTCCCTTTCAACCATCATGCTCCCATTGGCCGGCTGGTTCCCGATAAGTTGACCATACACCAGCCTGCACACAGGACATGCCTTCTTTACTTGAAACGCCTGTTCTAAGCAGGACCGACAGAACGCGTGGCCACATTTGTCCAGAGTTGTCTTTTCCACAATTTCGCCCATGCAGATAGAGCAAATGGTGCTCTCTTCTTCATGACCGATGGCTAATTCAGCCCCGGTCCTTGCCACTGCCTCATGTTGCATGGGTAAAACTACACAGGTCTCCATGTCTGCGTTTTTCCTGTATTTCTGCTGTTGCCTTTGCGAGCGCCGTGGTTGAGGGGGAGGCGGAGACAACAAGCTCCCTTCCCCGTCGGGCTCCACTGCCGCCACACACGGTAACAGAGAACGTTTCCTCTTAGGAGCTGCCTCCTGTTTGGTCATCTCCTTCCGGGCACAGCGGCATAAGTCAATGAAAGCTTTCCGTGTAACAGGAGAAACCGGCCCATCCATCATCCCAGTTCTGGCCCTGCTGCTGCCCTCCACCGGGGAGAGCCGCACGGCACAGCAGCCGCCACGCTCCCCGCGTCGGATGATGTCTGCGCTTAGTCCCTGCTTGTCCTCGAAGTCGACCAACCAGGGCCGTCCAGCGGCTGCAAGGTAATCCCACACCGCCTGTGACACCAGCACCTCGTCACTGCCCTGCCCCGCGCGCACGCTCATCTCATCAGATGAAACTGGGAGGAAAAGAGATCAGTTTGCAAGAGTAGTTCAAATGGCCAACATTAACAAATTTTGCAATTATTTAGTGCTTTATTGTGTTTCATAATGCTACATTTACACTATACTGTACTATTAGGTACTTCACATTTTTTCCCCAATATTATTGGTAATAAAATAAATCAACTATATATAGTTAAAAAGTAAAAAATATATATTTTTAAATTGGATAAATACATTTTATATATTATATACGCATAGATACATGTTTCTTTTTTTTACAATTTTAAAAAGCATTTTTAGCTTTTTAAAAAACAAAGAAACAAATTTATTTTTAAATTATTTGATGTAGTCTTTCATATTAATTATATGAGGTCTTAAGAATGGCATAACAATTGTACAAAAAAAAATACAATTTAAATGCTAATTAAACCAGTTTTAGATGAAATACTGCTGTAACTGATTGTTGTCATGTTAACTAACCAATTACAGTAATGTTCAACCTTTCACCCTTTTTACAATTCTTGAATGAATGAATGAGGCATTTATATAGCGCTTTCATATGTACTACTGTACACCCAAAGCGCTTTACAATCATATCAGGGGTTCTCTCCTCAACCAGCACCAGTGTGCAGCATCCACTTGGATGATGCGACGGCAGCCACAGTACAACGGCGCCAGTGCGCTCACCACACACCAGCTATAGTTGGAGAGGAGAGAGAGTGATAGAGCCAATTCAGTGGATGGGGATTATTAGGAGGCCATGATTGGCAGGGGCCAATGGGTGGAATGTGGCCAGGACACCGGGGTAATACCCCTACTCTTTACGAGAAGTGCCATGGGATTTTTAATGACCACAGAGAGTCAGGGCCTCGGTTTAACGTCTCATCCGAAGGACGGTGCTCTTTGACAGTATAGTGTCCCCGTCACTATACTGGGGCGTTAGGACCCACACAGACCACAGGGTGAGCGCCCCCTACTGGCCTCACTAACACCTCTTCCAGCAGCAACCTGGTTTTCTCAGGAGGTCTCCCATCCAGGTACTAACCAGGCTCAGCCCTGCTTAGCTTCAATGGGCAACCAGTCTTGGGCTACAGGGTGATATGGCTGATGGCATAGCCATATCACCCTGTAGGTATGGGGGCATAGCCATATCACCCTGTAGGTATGATATGGCCATGATATGGCCATATCAGCCATATCATGAAGTTAAATATTAGCTTGTGCTTGTTACCGGTTCGCTCCTTCCTTGTCAGGAGAAACATATGATGGATAATACATGTGTAATGAGTCAACCCTGCATAAATTCACAATACTTCACACCTGACAAGAGCTGCAGGCTAGCATGCAGATTCTTCTCAGTCAGATCTTACGAGCTCCCTGAGCTTAATCCTTTATAAAAAAGGATTATATTATAGGGTTTAATCATTATAATATAATTTACCCTTTCACAATCCAATTTATTTGTGGCTGTGCAGCAGAAGGGTGGAATATTCTAGACAATGAAGTTTCTTGCATGAATAGGCTGTGCTGAGTATTATCAGCTCATTCAACACCAACAGGCAGCTGTGCAGGACCACATCAGCTGCTCTGAAATGTGTTCACTGTATAAACAAAGGATCATTCTGTGTTGCACTACCTGCTCATGAATGTCACTTGATGCTTGCAGAGTGATTACATTATTGAAACTAAATTACCTTGTGATCCCATAAATTCTCGTTACTTGCAGTAACAGGCCTATTTCCCTGTTTTAGAGAAAATAAATATACAAGTTAGTAGATCAAGACATTGTTTATATTTAGCGGATTGTCCAGCAACCTGACACACGAAGAAAATGATGATGGCAGTACGTTGCCTTAAAACCTAAGTATTGCTAAATTAAAAACAATAATAAATAAATAAAAAACATAGTGACAAAGCCTATTGTGCTCATGTAATAAATGAATTCACCTCCTGTAGTGACTTTGCCGGAAGAGATGAATGTAAAGGGAACCTACCGCAACTAGAGAATGCCTGCTTCCACTCGACGAGGAAGTCAACAGACGACCGCTGCATTGAACGTGCCGTAAAAAAAAACTATGATAATTCTTGCGAATTTATGCTTGGGATATCCTATTCAAGTTCAGATGACACTTCGCTTGATCAACAGACCAGCTCAGTCTCTTTGTGGTTTCCCAATTCCCCGTCCTTGGTCAAAAGAAGACAACATGCATACAAAGAACATCGTTGACTGTCACGACGAAAGTGTTTCGCCTTTAGCTCCTTCGCGACTCTAACTCGGCGTCTCTATGTCATATTTCGTTATCACATAGTTCGCTTTCAGTAATTACAGTGAAAATGCCCTGAATACACGGTAATATAGGCAGGAAGTTCGTCACTCTTGTGGTCGTTGGTTGAGCCGGATTAGCGATTACAGGATGTGACCACTGTGTGGAGCTCTTTAAAGATAATCAATCGTCTTGTATTGTTTGACCTTTGGGCTTTTTCTGATTAACTCCTGTATATATTCACGGGATATGTATTTTGAATTATTAATCATTTGCAATTATTACTTTATTAACATCACTGTCATTGCTTTATTTGTTTGTTTGCCGACACTTTTTGTGTATTGAAGCTTTGGCAATATTGTATGCAACGCAAAACATCATGCCAATAACGTACTTTAATAATAATATAAAATAATACAAAAGTAAACACTAAAACGTAAAATAACTAACATAGATAGATAGATAGATAGATAGATAGATAGATAGATAGATAGATAGATAGATAGATAGATAGATAGATAGATAGATAGATAGATAGATAGATAGATAGATAGATACTAGTATCATCATTGTTTGTATTTTTAATATTAGGCAATATATCACATTATTTATTCGTATGATTTGTATGCATAAACATTATGTCTATGTTTGTAGTATGGTCCAGGATAATCGTGACATCTTGTACAGTCGAGGCGGAGCGAGGTCTGCGTTACTATGGAGACGCATTTGCTCAGGGTGCGCGCATGGCGCGGAGCGCGCAGCAGAAGTCGCTAGAAACGTTGTGGTGACGTCACTACGCGCCAGTGAGTAGACTGACACGCGCGATTCCTGTGCAGGGTGACGGAGCGGCGCATAAACAGCTAGCTTCCGTCTTTATGCATGCGCTTTGAACTGACAGCATAAATTCAAAACACTACCACAGGCGAGAGGACGAAAGTGTCAACGCAGATTTTTGTGTAAACTGAAAGAAGATATCGACATGTGAGTTTGACTGGCAGTGATAAGGATGCACGAACTTATTAGCTAGTTAGCAAATGTGTTCATAACCTCTATCAGGTAACGTTAAACATCAGATTTTCTCACATGCGGCAGTTATTAAATATGGACATTTAAGAGAATACTGGTTATTCTCGAAAAGACGTTTTAAATAGCATAGAAAAACCTTAATCGGTGGTGGAAACAGCGCACATTGCTTGCACAGAAGAGCTTAGCTAGCTGGTTTGCAGCTAGATTGTCAGGGCCTGAAGTTATTGTAACTTACAGCTAACATGAGAATTGCTACTGCTCAGTTTGCTATTGCTTGATTCTTCTTAATTTAATCATTCATCTGCATGACTGTAGAATGTTCTAGCAATTTCCACGCCCCAGATTAAGCCTTACGCAGATCAAGGTTTGCAGGGTGTTCCCAGCTAGAAAAAAAGGTTTGCTGGTCTTAACTGTTTAAGACGGACTTAAATCAGCTAGTCTTCCAAGCTGGTGCTCAGCTGGGCAGCCAGTTGCTCTGCTGAAAGGTCTTAGTTTGGTCTCCCAGGCTGGTTTGTTGGATGGGGTTGGGTCACTTCATCTGAGCATGTAGGTTATAAGCCAGCCTCCAAGCTAAACCAGCTGAGCACCACAAGACACAGAGACCATCTTAAACTATGTAAGACCAGCAAATTCAGGTTGGACTAAGTTTGCAACACTCAATAATCATGACCAGAATATCTATGTGTCTTCAACACCAGCTTGTTCATTGGTATGATTAAATTATCCACCATTTAACTCTTAACTCTCAATATGTCAAATTACACTTATTTGCATGGCATATATATCTCTAGCTATAGTTCATGCAGTTAAAATGCAGTACAAAATATTAGAAACAAATATTTTTTCAGGGGCTTGGTTCTTTCATTGTTTTTACTGTAGTGAAGCCCAAGGTAGATTAAGAGGCCATGCAATGAACCTGCCAGTCAATTAAAACTGGTCCCCATGTTCCCCATTAGAACTAAACAACATCGCTTTATTTCGATGCCATATTGAAGTGTTGTATAACTTTAAATTCTGCATGCTCTTTCAAATATATTGTTTTTTTTTCCATTTGTTTTACAGGCAGCCGGCAACTGCCAAGTGGTATGACAGACGAGAGGCCGTCTTCATTGAATTCTGTATAGAAGACAGCAAAGATGTCCAAGTTAAATTTAACAAAACAAAGCTTGATTTCAGGTACATCCATTTTCAAATTGCTATTACAAAAAATAATTATGATCTAATGTTTTTTATGCAATATAATGATACTCAGTTAAAATGTTTTAGTATTTGCACTGCAAATTTGAATGCTTGCCTCTTTGGTGTTTTAAAGTACAATATAGTGCTATAGTAGTTAATTCTAAATTGTAATATGCTATATTTTTTGTTTTAGTTGTGTTGGAGGAACAGATAACATGAAACACCATAATGAAGTAGAACTATTTGAGTCCATTGACCCAAATGTAAGTACTCCACCTTAGGGGTTGTCACGGTACCAACATTTCAGTAGTTCAGTTCAGTAGTACCAATACCAGTAAAATGTTGCTGTTCTCGATACCAATTTTTATACTAGAGCAAAAACTGTTGAATTAAATACTTTAAAAAATGTTGTTCTATTTTGTCTTGTCCATTGTTTATCACTGTCAATCATAACAGTTTCCGATTCAATTCCTCATTTAAATTCGGTTGTTGATCCAAAAACTTTGCAGTGTACTTGGCAGCATGAAAAACTAAACTTGCAAAGTGCAAGCTTACTGAATTCTGCACTCTTGTGAATAATAAAAAAAGCTGTCTTAATTGTTCAATGAATCTCTTATTTACTTCGTTTACACACTTTGTTGAAAGGATTCGTGAGCACACGGCTCACATTAAACAAAAAAAAAAAAAAACACTAGTGCTTTTTCAGTGGTGTTAAGCCGATTCTGACTAACTTACTGACTAGCATCTCTGATAGGCCATTGTGTTCATACACTCAACAGATATGATTGCGATTGGCTATAATGGTCAATACTTGTAAAAAAAAAAAAAAAAAAAAAAAAAAAAAAGCCCTCAAACAAACACAAAAGACAGCGTCTATCAGCGGGTACCAAAAATACCTGGTACTTCAGAAATGCTGGGACCGTCAAGGTTTTTTGTTTTTTTGTACCGACCGGTACCAGTAGTATCGGTACGTTTGACAACGCTACTCCACCTGATGGTTTCTGGTCTAATTCAGGTTGTAAGAGCTCAATCTGCATGGCTCATGGTGTTCTCAATGGTTTAAGAGATACATAGAACTTTATTATTCTTTTGCAGGACTCTAAACACAAACGCACAGACAGGTCTGTGTTTTGCTGTCTAAGAAAAGCAGAATCTGGCAAGTCTTGGCCAAGGTTAACAAAAGAGAAGGCGAAGGTCAGTGTTTGGTCCGTTTGAACTATTAAAATGTAACTCTATTTAGCAATAAGATCCCTTGTGGTAATTGATGTTTCTCTTGGTTCTTTGTGCAGCTCAATTGGCTCAGTGTTGACTTCAATAACTGGAAAGACTGGGAGGATGACTCGGATGAAGAATTGTCCAGTTTCGATCGCTTTTCAGAGGTTCATGTCTACATATACACTCACCGGCCACTTTATTAGGTACCCCATGCTAGTAACGGGTTGGACCCCCTTTTGCCTTCAGAACTGCCTCAATTCTTCGTGGCATAGATTCAACAAGGTGCTGGAAGCATTCCTCAGGGAGTTTGGTCCATATTGACATGATGGCATCACACAGTTGCCGCAGATTTGTCCGCTGCACATCCATGATGCGAATCTCCCGTTCCACCACATCCCAAAGATGCTCTATTGGGTTGAGATCTGGTGACTGTGGAGGCCATTTTAGTACAGTGAACTCATTGTCATGTTCAAGAAACCAATTTGAAATGATTAGAGCTTTGTGACATGGTGGAAGTAGCCATCAGAGGATGGGTACATGGTGGCCATAAAGGGATGGACATGGTCAGAAACAATGCTCAGGTAGGCCGTGGCATTTAAACGATGCCCAATTGGCACTAAGGGGCCTAAAGTGTGCCAGGAAAACATCCCCCACACCATTACACCACCACCACCAGCCTGCACAGTGGTAACAAGGCATGATGGTTCCATGTTCTCATTCTGTTTACGCCAAATTCTGACTCTAACATCTGAATGTCTCAACAGAAATCGAGACTCATCAGACCAGGCAACATTTTTCCAGTCTTCAACTGTTCAATTTTGGTGAGCTCTTGCAAATTGTAGCCTCTTTTTCCTATTTGTAGTGGAGATGAGTGGTACCCGGTGGAGTCTTCTGCTGTTGTAGCCCATCCGCCTCAAGGTTGTGCGTGTTGTGGCTTCACAAATGCTTTGCTGCATACCTCGGTTGTAACGAGTGGTTATTTCAGTCACTGTTGCCCTTCTATCAGCTCGAACCAGTCTGGCCATTCTCCTCTGACCTCTGGCATCAACAAGGCATTTCCGCCCACAGAACTGCCGCTCACTGGATGTTTTTTCTTTTTCGGACCATTCTCTGTAAACCCTAGAGATGGTTGCTCGTGAAAATCCCAGTAGATTAGCAGTTTCTGAAATACTCAGACCAGCCCTTCTGGCACCAACAATCATGCCACGTTCAAAGTCACTCAAATCAACTTTCTTCCCCATACTGATGCTCGGTTTGAACTGCAGGAGATTGTCTTGACCATGTCTACATGCCTAAATGCACTGAGTTGCCGCCATGTGATTGGCTGCTTAGAATATAAGTGTTAACGAGCAGTTGGACAGGTGTACCTAATAAAGTGGCCGGTGAGTGTATACTGCTATTAATAATCAAAAATTTCTGGGAAAATAATAATTGGGAAAAAAATCATACTCATTTGCATTTGATTTGTTTGATTTTAAAGATGATGAACAACATGGGAGGGGAAGATGACCTACCAGATGTGGACGGTGCCGATGATGTGAGAGAATTATTGAAGACATAATATTATTTTTAAATTACTGGTTTATTGTAAGTTAGTTAGTTAATAATAACCTAAAAATATATAATTGCGGCATTGCTGAAATGTTCTCTGTTTGACCTGATTTTATTTCAAATTCCAGGAAGAGTCTGTGGATAGTGATGACGAAAGTAAGTTTTCTTAAATGATCTGTCTGTCCTCTGTAACCTTTTTTTTGCATTATTCAGAAAGGGTTAGCTGCTACAACTTTATACATTAATGGCGCATTTATTGGTTAAAATTTTCAAATGAAATGTATTAACTTTTTTTAATTTATTTACAAATATTTCAGAAATGCCAGACCTTGAGTGAAGGAACAGGAAACCGTCATGCAGAAGAAAGCAAGAATTTTCATTTAACACTTAAATGAAGAGAGACTAAGTTTGAGTTGGTAGCCATTTAAAAACTGCTTTCTGCAGAAAGTCACAAGGAATGATTTTTACTGTTGTGTTGATGGCAACGTTAGCCCCTCGACAATGCATACACACTTTACTTTACTGTTCTGCATGGACAATTACGAGCTCTCAATGATGTATTGTGGACACCAGTTATGGTCAGTTTACTCAATGGCTTCTAAGTCTTGGGCTTTTCCTCAGTGTCAGTGGGGTTATTGCATCATGTAATGTAGACATTGTAATTTGTAGTAATGGAAAAAGGACATGAATGACTATTTCAACATATTCTGCCTTCTCCCTCTCATTCAAACTGTACATTTTATTTAATTAATTGTTTGTTAATTCCTTTGTGTTTAAACTCTGATTTCCTTGAAGGAAGCATTTTCTTAAGGTACATGCTTCCTCAATGTCAGCCAAGACATTTGGTTTTCACTAGTGCTGTATTTGAAATCAGAATGGCATATTCAAAACCCTTGCACTGATTTATTACAAACCCCCATTTTAAGTGTTTTAGCAGCAGTTTTGACCCTCAGATAGGTTTATGTGTCAATCCAACATGTTCAAAGTGCATAGTCATGTCTGTACACAATGCTTGACAAAATCATTTTTCAGGTTGGCAGTTAGTATTTGTTGTTTTGTATCACACATAGACGTGTAACAGGCAATCATGCACTGGTTTCTTCCATATATGTAAAGACAAGTAATTAAAAATATGCTCACCGCTGTACAGAACAAAAGGGTAACTTATCAACAGATTTAAAAAACATTATCAATAGATGACCAATTTGTGTTTGCACTCTTAATATCAATGCAGGTGTAAGTAAAAGATGAAAACTATGTTGTGACCTGTCATTTCAGGTCTATAAATTTCAGTTTGTTAAAAGCAGTGAGGTTTTTGTCTACATATTTCTTATAAACTGTCTCTAAACAACACTTTGTTTGTTTGTTTTTTCCCTATGTTTGTACATAATTTGGGATAATTTTCAGCAGTGCGCGATATATCATCCAATATTTGCGTTTATTAAATTTTAGCAGCAGCTAATATTGTCTGGTTTTGGCAGATATCGTTTTGTCGCATTCACAATTAACCCTCAATTCTTATATTGAGATTTATCGTGAACACTGTTAAAACAAATATTGTTTAATATGGATTTATCAAATCGATGACAGGACAGCATTTGTTTGTGCATTCCTAAAAAAAAAATGGGCTTCTTCTGAGGTTCCGGAACATTTTGTCCTTGCTTATGAAAAGAGAGCAATTGTGCTGCTGCCACAAGATGTCGCTATAATTCCATTTCTGCTGAACAGACCTGCAAGAATGAAACTGCACTTTGCGTTTTTGAGAAGTGATACTACATTAGACAGGACTGCATCTGTTTTTAAAGCTAAAAGTCTGGGTGAAAACAAAACTCGTTTTTTTAACGTTTTGCTCACACATTGAAAACGTTCACCATTCCACAACGTCTTTATTTAATCAGTTATTCAGTAATCATCGCAGAATTTAAGAAATTACTTTTTATTCACCAAATTCTTGTTCTACCACATTAGGTGGAAGGATCCAGTGATTCCAGGCAACAATTTCCTGATCATACTAATGGTTTGAGGTCTGGGTTCTAGTTGGACCATTAATGTAAGAAGGTAAAGGTTCCATTGAGCACTTCTCTTCAGCCCTGAGTTTCTGGAGTAAAAAAAAAAGGGCTTCCTTTTAAACCGCCCCTTTTTAAAGGATGCTTAGAGGTTTTATAATAACTAAAGATGACTTTAACAGTGATTTAATCAAGATTTACCTGATTACTTAGGATATTAAGTCTTGCTTTCTGAAAACAAAATTAAGTTAACGTTTGCTTAAAATAAGAAAAGAATATCTGCCATTGGGGTCAGAAATATAAACTTAAGATTATTTTTCTTTCCTCGCTGATAGATATTTTTGATGTTCTTGATTTAAAAATGTTTAAATATTCGTATGGTAAAACAACACAAAAGCACTGAGTAGGAAAATCCTTTTTTATTATTATTGTAATGAGCATATGCTGTTTTAACTGACTGTCAGAGATGTTTATTGTGCATTCAAAATGAAACCTTCTTAAATAACTTAATACAGCAGATGGAGATGTAATGATGGATGAATGGTATCTGGAGGGACTGTATGTTCAGATCAACAGTTGATCTGTAAGGCCTGGAATATTTTAGGGGGTTAAGTTCCCTGAGCTAGTGTTTTGTTTAAGACAGTGGTGGTATGGGAGGTTGTGTTGGTGTCAGCAGTCTGCACCAGAGGTAATAGAAAAGTCCTCACGCAAGCGGTTTTAAGCTGTCTCTCCTGTGCGACAAAAGGCGGCTTACGGACACATGAGCAGGCAATGGTGTGGAGTAATCCTGCCCACAATAGATGTACACAAAGTCGGTTACTCTGAGCAGGCCTTGCAGAGCTACTGCAACTTGCAACCCAACCGGAATCACCTGCTTCCACAGAAAGTGCTACTGGCCTGGTCGGTTATCTCACCAAACATGAAATTGGATATAGAGGGGGTCAGATATATGATACCTTGATTGTTTAGCTAATACCCATCTTTGGTTAAGGAAGTGTTTCGCCTTAAAGGACCACATTGTATTGCAATCTGATATTCAAATTGTTTACAGTTAGTATAGAAACAGTTCACACTTTGGCGTTTAGACCAGTTGTCACACTTCTTGCTCTAATAACATTTGCAAATAAAGCACCTATCATTTGAGACAATGGCCCGACCACACACACACACACAAAAAATTGAATCAAAGGCAACAGAAACTGTTGCGGCCAGCATTTTGGTTCATCCCAAATGAAAGCAAAAGCACAAGCGAAGCAGTATCCTTTCACTAGACTAGCTCACCGTGATTGCCCAGAGAAGAGGCTCAGTGTTGCCCTCGCCCCACTATCACCTCCTGCCACCAAACATGGATTTTCCAGAGCTTTATTGGGCCTCAGGCCAGCAGTCCCGCCAGCACACACAATGTAAAACTCTGCCTAATCAGTTCTGCACAGGACCAACTGGCTCTGCCCTGACCACTGAATGGAGGTGCTACGGCAAAGCCCTCATTGTGTGCAGAGGAAAAATCACTATTTCATGCGGTTACAGTAAAAATGGTTTCACAAGCATGGGATTTGTGTGGTCTGCTGTGTGTTGATGATGACACAACTATTAAATACCACAAGCAAAGTGTTTGAAATGATTCAGCGCCACAATGTGTACTACAATGCATTTGTCAGATGCATTTATCCAAAGCTTAACATTGCATTCTATATTTTGAAAGCAATGTGTATCACTTTAAATAAAAGAATCTGCCAAATATTATATTATATTTTTATATTATGCATAATTTTATTATATAATAATGTAGAATTTTATTTTAAACCGAAGCAGAATAAAACATCTGGCAAATATTATATTTACATAAATATGTGATATTTAATTGTGTTATTTTATTTTGGTGTTGTTACTAAAAAACCCATAGACTTTTCTGTCCTGTGCATGTGGAGTGTTAGTTATGATAGGTTACATCCATGTGAGGCTTCCTTCTGTTGTATGAGAGGGTTTGTTTCTTTGTGTCAGCACTTAATCCACACTGTGAAGGGCTCTAGACCCTTTTAGGGGCCCTGGTGTTGTAGCCGGGGCCAGAGAAGAGGCAGTTCCTAAACACTGTTCTCTGTTGTGGGCTGGGATGGGACAGTGATTCTCAGCAGCTGTTCTTCTAAATGTCATCATGTTCCCACATCTTATTAATACACCATTTCCCTTTCACCTGCTGTTAAAAAATTTATATTTCTGAACATTTTGTGTCTTTAATGACCTTTCTCCTCCAGTTTGAGATGTTTATTTTTAGTTGAAAACTAAGTTGAAAGTTAAATTTCCCAGCAAGATTGGTTTAACATTCCACCGTTCCTCAATGGCAAAAATATTGTAAGTTTTGCGGTGATGATCATGAGCTAAAAGGAAGCGCAGGACAGAAAAGGGTTAAAAACTTTTTGATTTGATTTGTTGTTTTGTCTGCAGCCCCCTCCCACAATTCAGCCAAAGGATTATAGTGTCACTGAGGGTCACGGTCATTATAAATACCCCTGTGGCCTCTCACTTCCCCATCAGAGAGGTTGAATATCTGCAGGACATGCTCATCATTTGTCTATCCGTGTTCTTTTATTAAATATCATCTCGAACTTTCACGTAGATGCAGAGATCACCTGCCAGTTTCACACTTAAGGTTTTATGACAAAAACCCCAAGATAGAAATTAACGGAGCAAATGATTTCAGTCTTGTGAAGCAGGGTTGCTTTTCACGCGAACTTCTTTGTAGGTTATAGAGGCATTTATGCTCGGTTTTCCATAGTTTATACGCCTTTGTGTTCAAAGGGAACACATCCAGATCTGAGAGGAAGCTCTTGGAGGTTCTTCTCCTTCTCACTCTCAAGTCCCTCCATATTTTTTGGCATCGCCTCTGAGTTATAGCAGCCATGTGGGAGTTCCGGTCCATGTCTTTTTGGCGGGCTGTGTTTGCCGAGTTCTACGGCACCATGTTCTTTGTGTTCTTCGGGCTGGGAGCAGCTCTGCGTTGGACCACCGGGCCACACAACGTGTTCCAAGTCGCCTTCTGCTTCGGGCTGGCAGCTGCCACACTCATCCAGTCCATCGGCCACATCAGCGGTGGCCACATCAACCCAGCCGTCACGTTCGCCTACCTGATTGGCTCCCAGATGTCCCTGTTTCGTGCTTTCTTCTACATCTGTGCTCAGTGCTTGGGCGCGCTGGCTGGAGCCGCTGTGCTGTATGGGGTCACGCCAAGCAATATGAGAGGCAATCTGGCCCTGAACACGGTAAGAAGGTGTATTTCAATCAGTGAGTTCATTAGTTCAAATAATGGCTTATTTACAAGTGATACAAACTGATTGATCAATGTTTTAAACCATAGAGATGTTAAAAAAAGATAATTTCACATGAAAGTAATAGTGGACAGACAATAAGTGTATTTTGGATAATTTTTTGGCAGTTTTTCCTACAGCGTATGCGTATATATGCTTTCAGCTTCAGCCAGGCATCAGTCTGGGAATGGCCACCACCATAGAGATATTCCTGACTCTGCAACTTGTAGTCTGTGTCTTTGCTGTGACGGATGAGAGGCGAAACGGGCGACTGGGGTCTGCTGCCCTGTCCATTGGTTTCTCAGTGCTTGTGGGTCACCTGCTGGGGGTAAGAGGCCATCCACATGACAGATTCAGTCTTAAAAGCAGTGCTTGTGCATTGGTTTTTGCCTCATGGCCCAGATTTTCCAATGCAAAACAGCACTGAAATGTTAACAAAGAGTAAAAAAAAAAAAAACTTCAGGTGAGATTTACTTGCTTAGCACATGAAACAAACACTATAGTGTTTGTTTCATGTGCTAAGCAAGTAAAGCAAGTGAACGATCCCAGCTAATTACTTAATTACTATAGTAATTAAGTAATTAGCTGGGATCGTTCACCTAGAAATGACAATTTTGTCATAATTTACTCCTGCTCCTCCTAACCCGTATGCCCTTATTTCTCAAGTGTAGCACAAAGGAGATCTTTAAAAGATAAAAAGTCTCAGGGTTTTTTTTTTTCATTCAATGAAAGGCAATAAAGGTCCAGTGTTGTTTTATTACTTTCATTGTATGGGGGGAAAAATGGTGGAAACATTCTTCAAAATATCTCATTTTGTGTTCCACAGAAGAAAGAAAGTCATTCAGGTTTGGAACAACATAAGAGTAAATAAATCATGACAGAATTTTCAGTTGTGGGTGAACTATCCCTTCAAGTGACATGAATCTTTGATCATGATTTTCTCCCTTGTAAAATATTTAATTTGCCATAACTAAACAAATTTTTTTTGGATCAAGACCCACCAGTTGAAGGTCACTGGCACTATTGGTTATATGAAATGCATGGTTTATTAAAAAGCATTTTTTAAAATATATATATATATATCGTCGCAAAATGTAACTATATCATCGCCCAGCTCTTTAGATTAATTTGCGTAGGGCGATTAATACTACATAGCATATCTCAATTAGCCTCATTCAAGCCCATTTCCAATCCGTCGAAATCGCGGCACCAATCAGAAACGTTGGGGCGGGCTTTACACGATGACGACAGCGCTAGGATTTTGAAGCAGATTTTGTAGCCTACATTACAAAGATGGATGCCGCCGTCGAACATCACTCGTTCGAATCAGCTATCGCGTCTGTTTTAAGCGATTTGAACGTTTCCTTTTTGTTAAAAACCGAGGAAAGAACAACACACGGAGTTTCACCGCTGCTCTGCATACGTCATCTCCTTCGTCGCTCTGATTGGGTTTAGGTCTAACCGCGACGTCCGTTGGTGACGCTCCTCTGGAAATGATTTGTCTATGACGCTTTGCCAGACCACAACTCAGTTACAACTGAGAATGGTCTGGTTTTAACCAGGGTATATCTCAATTGCTTGTATTGTCACAATCTATTAAATGAAGACATTAAGATATTATAAACATTTACATCATGATTTTCTGTAAAGCTGCTATGAAACAGAACGTATTGTGGAAAACACTAAATTTGACTTGACATGAATCTCATTGCAGATGTATTACACTGGAGCTGGAATGAACCCTGCCAGGTCTTTTGCGCCTGCTGTGCTGTTTAGGAACTTTAATAACCATTGGGTGAGGCACATTTCCATCATATTCAGATGAAGAAACATTTTGCGTATTGAATCATAAACGTTACAGTTTTCTGTCTGTTCTGGTAGGTCTACTGGGTGGGCCCTATCATCGGCGGTGCTATGGGCGCCCTGCTGTACGACTTCATGCTCTTTCCACGCATGCGCGGCCTGTCCGAGCGACTGGCCGTGCTCAAGGGTAACCGACCCTCTGAGGCCGAAGCCCAACAGGAGACCAGAGGAGAACCGATTGAGCTCAAAACACAAGCCTTATAAACACTGCCAGGAAACTTTGAATCCCTGAAGCAACACATACATACGATCATTTCACACACCTCATCTTCACACACCTCCAATATACCAACAAAGTTTGCCATAGGGAGAATCACACACACACACACACACTTCCAAAGGCAATCGAGACACTATAACCCCTTCCCAAAGACTAAGAATGAGGGTAAGATGAGGACTTCCTGCTGAGGACTGCGCTCTGTACCTCCAGGTATAGGGAGCGAGATCAGGTGGCTAACGCCGCTCAGGGGCACCTCTGTCGTTTCTAGTCTACTAAGAGTGAACTACGCTAGAAGTGGACTTCTGCATGCTTTCCAGTTTCACAGGGTTGAAATCTCACACATTCATTTCATTTCAGTTTATTTTTTCTTTGATTTTTCAGAGATGTGACACGTGTACAATATTATTAGCATTTTGCAACAGATTTCTTTACATTTTACTTACAGTCGGCATTATTCAGTTGTGCTTGGTGTGTGTGTGTGTTTTCCAGTTTGGCTCTTCCATTTCCACCATTCGCCTTGTTTGTATCAATGCGATGTTCTTTTTTCTATCCCTCAAAATGAAGGAAACATTCCTTTAAATCTTGGGTTAGCTGGATGTTCATTCATGACTAAAAGCTTCATAAATCCTTTGGGAATTTGGATCCCTCTTTGAGTCTGTCTCAAGCTGTTGTATCGTTTTAACTGTGGCCTAATGGCCCAGAATGTGTTTCTTTAAAAGAAGCACAGTCACACATAATTCATAATATATATATATATATATATATATATATATATACATGCAAAACTCAACTAGTTTATTGTTATACCATAACTTTTACCTGATACAAGCACTTGATCCCCCTCACCATGTCATTTTCAAAACTACTGTTTCAGGCAGTTTCAATGAACTTTTTCTGCCATAAATCTGCATGCATACATTTTCTGTTCAGATGAATGGGTTTGGCATTATTTTGTGTGTACATAGCTAAACTTAGGCAAAAGCAATGATATTTTGTCTCGGGCAAGAGAATATTTGCGTAATTTATTGTAAAAGAAATTTAAAACCTCACTAATGAGCAAAATTGGTTCAAACCATTATGGATACAGTGACAATTCCTGTTTTTCCACAGATGGAGAGGGATTTGTTAAGGTAATTTAATCACCTCTTCCTCATTGGCCTGCGATTAGAGGATTGCTGAGCGACTGAGATGTCTGGATTTAAATGCACATTAATGTTCTTGTAGCACATGGATCTGATAGAATGAAAAGGCAATTACTCCACCCAGGTGTTCTGTCACTCTTTTCCTCTCTGCACTCTTTCCACTCTTCTACTAGTGTCTTGTTGTTCAACATCTGACTGAAGGGAGACCAGAGGGCTCACCATAGGGCTCTGTAAAATCAGATTTCATTTTGTCATCAAAGTCTTGTGCTAAATGTAAAGATGACCTTTTTTGACTGTTGAAGCTAGCTGAGTATAAATAATCATTTCAAGTTAGTAACTGTCTCTTCTTTGGTAATTTAATGAGGGTGGAGTCTGAAATAATGCCACAGTGCATATATTTCATTAACAATTGTTTTTTTTACTCTCTTTAAATTAACAGTAATCTTCATTCAACGCAAAATTATTCTTTTTTACTTTTATGAAACGAGACAATAATTTATTCTGTAGAAATCCAGAACTATTGAATTCTTAGGCAAGAGTCTCGAATGGCATTTTGACTTTATTTGTCAGATTTTTAACATGGAAATTTGAATATTTCTTTGGGAAAAAAAATCATATATACCTGCTTTACATTTTTGGTCACATGTATTAAATGAAAAAAATTGCAACTTTGACATTGTTCAATGACAAATGCATTAAGTGCTTTATGCTCTTCTTTGGCAGGTAACAGGATTTTGATGAAATCTTCAGGATCAATATAATCAGGCAGGAGTATATCTAGCACAATCATCCGTTAGAGCTACAGAAAGAACATCTGAATAGACAACAGAGACGAAATTGTGTGGTATTCCCCAAAAAGGACTAAATACATACAGACAGTTACAGATGGCACCTTTGAAAAACATCCCATTTGATATTTTCCTAATCAAAGCACTAAGATGAAAGATTTATATTTTACAAGATATAGAACAGTATTGTTGAAAGGCAAAAAAATCACAGTTTATGGAAAGGAAAATGTATATTACATTTAAATTTTAAGAAAGTTGATGACCTATAGCACTAAGGACTAAATACAGAAGAGGTGAACACATAGAACACTGTAGAGTTCGTAGAGACAGCATTATGTCTACTTTTTATATGAAAACTTAGTTATTTTGTCCACACAAGATGCATTTTACATGATTCATACTCATAAATTATGTAATGAGAGGCTTGCAAAATTGAGTTATAGATCATATTGTGCAAGTAAAGGTGGGGACACACTTAATGACTGTAAGGACAATTACGAATGTAATTTGATACTTACGACTGATCATGCCAAAACGCGCCGAGTCAAAGACAGTTGCGTTCAGTCGGTGTTCACAGTCGGTGTTTAAAATCTACTCCAGTTGTTGGAAACAGTCTGTAAGTGTGTTCAGTTCAGTCTTAGAATGTTTCAGCTAGTCCTTAAGTGTGTCCCCGGCATTAAGGAACAAATGATATATGACAGAGCTAAGTAAAACTCACAAGTGATATGCAGATAATAAAACTGTGATTTTAGCTTTACTGGCCAAAGCTGACTTTAGAATCATATGAATACTGAGTATTGAAAATGCCATTACAAACAACTCATGCAAATAAAACAGCCGAATGAAAAACTGTTTATATGGAAAATGGTACAAAAGTAATAATTGCATATAGTTTAATAAAACTTTTGCCTATGTCTAAAAGAGCACATGTGATGCTATTTGTTTCTGCTTACCTCACCAAATCTGTGTCTGTACCCTGAACAATCTGTCTCATTCAGGACATTGAGTAAAATATTGTTAATCTACTCTGGTGACATAACCACACTGAAATATACTAAATATGTTTTTTTCTGCATCATGATCATCATAAAAAAAACCTTCTGGTATACAAAAATGTGTGAGTTAAATCTATTTGGTCTGTCAATGGAAAATACAACCACTTGATAGCAAACAATTTCCTGTTTCACTTGTCAGTTACAATGCTGCTTTCAAGAGTATTCATTAGACAGAAACAGGGAATGACTAAGCAGTTTAGGTACTACAAGCTAATGCGCAAAGGCTCTTTTTGCCAACACTTCACCTGCTTTCTCATAGAAATTATACAAGTTGCTATTAAACATTTCCTATGATTATTGAGATAAACACACTGGTCCTTTAAACTGCATGTTTTTTTGTTTGCGGGAGGAAGCGAGTGTGATGCCGAGTTGTTATACAATCCATGCGATAATTTCCATCCCTACAGATACACTTGTTTTTGGAACAAATGGGTAATGTGTCCTTTTAGGACATATGAATTGCTCTGGAAGTCCATGGAGCCCCAAGCCATCTGATAGATCTCCACAAGGAACAGAGGGACTGTACCTCTTAATGATGTACATCAAATTGATCCAAAATTCCCTCCAGCGAATCCATGTCTATGGGTTCATCTGAGGGAGCTGGTGGCCTGTTATAGAATAAAGAAAAATGACAATGTTAATAAAAAACAGCTGTGTGATTGATGCCAAGACCTATGCTATAGTTTACCTAAAAAAAAAAAAACCTGTATGCATTTCTTAAAGTCGTCATGAAATCAAATTTTACCATTCGTGTTGTAATATTGTAGTGTTTATTATAAATGATTTATCTGTGCACTTCATTATTTTTAAAAAAATTCATGTACCCTTATAATCTTTAATCAAATACGTGACCCTTCCCTCCCCCCTCGAAACGACTTCTCTTCTCTTCCGGTCAAAAACTATTACTAGAGGGCGTGGCTATTGGGGTCTGTCTCGTTTCTGGCCCGCCTCTCAGAAACCTGTCAGTGTCACTGACAGCCAGCAAATATGGTGTTTAGGTGCATTTTTGGTTGCGCTCCTCACGTCCTCTTTCCTATCCCTAAACAACCTTGTCTGCGTGCCCGCTGGCTCGAATTCCTGCATTTGAATTATTATCGTCGGGTTCCTCAATTAAAAATTCTTCATGGGAGGGTAACGGTGGGGAGTCCGGTGGAGAGAAATCCTCCACAACTGACTGTAAACTGGCATTCAAATCTGCCTCCATTTTGTTAGCAACGCCCAACCTCCAACGATCCAATCAATTCCCGAAGGACGAAATCAAGCCCCGCCCTACATTTTTTTCTAATTTCAGAAGCCGTTTCACTCGGATACACGTCACAATAAGGAAAAAAGGACAATCTCAACTTCCGTTTCATGACGACTTTAAATACAAGGGATTTGCATATAACATGAATTTTATGTGACTGTGACTTACATGGATGGCGGGTAGATTGGTCCTTGACCAGACACGGGGTCTGGCATATATGTGGGTGTACAATTACTAGGATGCCTGGGAAGGGCAATAGAATCACAACAGTCAACAGTGTTGTTTATTAAAGAAATCAACCATTTAATTCAGCAAGGATGCATTCAATTGATCAAAAGTGACTTTTAAAAGTTTTCCTTTAACAAACACAACGGTTATATTTATCAAAGAGTCTTGGTTTCACCAAAAAAAAGGTTTCCAAATCAGCATATTAGAATGATTTCTAAAGGATCATGTGACACTGAAGACTGGAGTAATGATGCTGAAAATTCAGTTTTACCATTACAAAAATAATTTACATTTTACAATTAAAAAAACAGTAAATAAATGGCTATTTTAAATTATAATAATATTTCTCAATATTAGAGTTTTTACTGTATTTTTTAAGACTTTTTAAACTGTGAATAGTAGTGCATTTTATTTAGTACTGAAAACTATTAAAATAAATTGTGTGTGTGTGCTTAAAGTATTTTGTTGTTAGCTTAGCAATGGGCTAATGTCAGACTCTACTTGTAGAAGATTGTGAGCTCTTTTAAGCTTTATATGCCCATTAACAGTGTTTCAAATTAGAGACTGTTTTGGCTAGGATGCCTCCAAAGCTTGTCATTGATGTGTAAGTTTACAACAAAGCCTTCTGATCAAAAAATATGATTGCCGTTTACATTCCTACATGATCCACGAACAGACAGATGTGAATGAACTTCCGAAGCCAAAGTATAACTATACTTACGGTGAGAAATGATTCTGATTCCTGTGGGGAGAAAAGAGGTATTTTACACACCACACAATTAAGACTTTTAAAAATAACTATACTGCAACAATGTGGACATCTGTGGCTGTTTGATTGTTTCATAGAAGATCTGATTGCTCCAATACGCACATGTTTAGTCCATAGACTGGGACAATAGATTGGTCATAGAAATCCGGAGGGAGGTCAGTCTGAGGTGGCATGCTGGGAGTGGAGGAGCTAAGGTCTCCTCTTATCATGAAAGAAAACATAATTATGTGAAGGACATTGTCAATGTCTTCAATACTTTGTGATCAAATTAAATGACTTGAATTAATTTCCTAATATAGAAGCAGTTCTCTATATATACCCCAAGTTATTGTTGTTAACATAAGAAAATGGCTCTGTGCTCATTAAATTATGCTTCACTTTAAAAAATCTATGAAGCGTAATATACATTTACAGAAAAAATTGTACTCACGAGTTGACTACTGTTGTTAGTTTGAATGGCAGGTATCCATCAGGAGTAGGGGGGGAAATCACTGTTTCAGGACACAAGAAAACAGAAGCATAAATCTTGGACTGTTTCTGTTATGCATCATTTTTAAAGAAATATTCAAATATACAGATACATTTTGTGCATTTTCTCTTTTTTGGTGAAACCTTAAAGCTGTAGTCCGCAGTTTTTCCTCTTTGTCGCCATCTCTGTTCGAAATCTGCAATTGCAGTCATTCGCGGAATTATCAACTTTACGTGAGTTGTACTTCGACATCGCCTCGACACGGCACAGCGCGGATGAACACAATGTTTGAGGACAGTGTGCAGCTGTCAGTCACCGCGCCGGTGTGGATACTGGCATTCAGAATCACAGATTATTCTTTTTGGAAGTATGACCAACATAATAATTTTCACCAGAAAAAGTCATCTGAACAAGTAAGTAACATCCACTTTTGTTCTGGTTCTGACATTGCAGTAAATCGCGCTGATTAAATCTAACAATCGCTTATCATATCACGTAAAACCGTGCAAATTATACTTTGTTCTCAAATTGTTAATGTTAACAACGTCAGCATTGCGTGACTACATTTCGTCCTTCCGATATGTACCCTTGTTTTCGCATGGGTCCGGTTGCAGTCTCTTTTTTTCACGCCGAAGTCCGAACGAAGTCTTTTGCATTTTACAGCGGTTGAGTCTCCAGTTGTCACTGGTGATTGTCGTTTGAACCTTTCTGGATCCGCCATCAAATTGATAAGTTTAATTATATAAAGTGCTGTGAGAAAAGGCTATAAATCTCCACCTCCAGCATCCTCACACACAATATAGCCGACTAGCCGAGACTCTTTCTTTATGTGTACAGATGTGACGTAATGACCCAAAGACATGCTCGAATCTCCCGCGGAAATCCACCAGTACCACTGGAGTTAAAAACATTATTACAAGCTTACCGCTTTGAATCGAGCTAAGGCAAGCAGATGGTTTTGAACACTGGCTGGTTATGTATTTTTTCAAAAATGTATTTTGGATAATTTTTAACCCCAAAAAAACTACGGAAAGATATTATCTTTAAAAGATCCTGTTACTTGCCTGTAAAGAATTTCTCAAATACATCAGTCTTTTTTAAGTCTGGATACACATAAGAGATGCAACTAATATCCCGTATGCGGTCACCAAGGCCAGCTGAGTCCAGATCCTTTTTGGTGAAAGGTTGGATATTCTGGATTTTCCTGCTTCCATCTGAGCAGAAACAACAGTGACATACATGTTATTAATTTTAAATGACACAGTTCTTGAACATTTTATCACAACTGCTCAATCCACTCACATTAGTACATATTTTACTAACGTAATCATTTTCTGTTAGGAATCATTTTTGTTGACTTAACTAACAGAGCAGTAGATCTGTAGTTCCCAGCATGCTTTGCATGGGACTGCATTAGGAGATTCAATGTTGGAAATTAGGTGTAAATTTAAGTGTTTTTCAGTAAAGGAAAAAGACTTGGCGGAGAAAGATGAAGACAAGCTTGCAGGGGTGGGTTTAAGCAGACTAAATGATGAGGGAATTCTTGCATATATAATTGGAAACAGAAGATGCAGTACTTTTTGATTAAAAATTACGAAGTAAAAAAAAAAGAAGATACTGTATATGCAGTACATGGATGAATCATTTACAATAAGATCTTTAACATGCACTTAGAAAATAGATAGGGCGAATTTTCATTTCATGCCAACTTTAAATTGTAAAGATATGTTACTGTATTTCTGATCAAATAAATGAAATGTTTGATCATAAGGGACTTCTTTTGAACAGTAGTGTATCGTACAGTATAAATGAAATCAATATTAAAAATACATTAAAAATGAATCAATTGATAGTTACTGAATTTAAATATCTTGGTATAATTTTAGATTCAAATCTTAACTTCAAGAAACACATCAAGAAAATGACAAAAACGATAAAATATAACTTGGCAAACTTTAGACAGGTTAGATCGTCCCTCCCTATGGATGTAGCCAAAATATTTATGCATGCTTTAATTTTTTCACATATTTCATACTGTATGACCTGTTGGGGACAAGGCCAGTGAATCTGCCATTAGACCTCTAGAATCATTATATAAGCAAGCTATAAAAATCCTTGAGAAAAAGCCATTTTGGTACCACCATTGCAAGATCCTAGAGAAACACAATTGATTGATTTTTGAAAATTTTAGACTCTTTTCAAACTTGACTCTAGTGTATAAGATTCTACACGGCCTGGCCCCTGCATGTTTACTGGTTTTTGTTTGCAATCGCCAACAAATTGGGGTGGGGGAGTGTTATTTGTATGTTTTTTTTATTGTACCCTGCCAGGGAATTGCAGATGTAAATTAGCCTATGGCTAACTCTGGTACAATGCATCAAATGGTAACATTTACGTTTGAAATTGTACATGGTCCCTAATAAAAGAAAAATATTTGAAACTTACTATCAGTGAGACCCACATAGGCAATGGTGATGCCACCCATTTCTGAGTCACTAAAGCGCAAAAGAAAGGTGCCGTTTGGCTTGTTTTGGAGGAGGACATGGAGATGATGTTTTCCAATGAAGCCAAAGATCAATCTGCAGGGGCAATGAGAAGTAGATTTCTATAGCAGTTCTCTTTAGTGATCTAGTCTAGTTCTCATTAAAGTGCAAAAACAAACTGAGGAAGTGTAACTGTACCCATCAGTCCAATAGTCTCTCAGGCATTTCTTCGTAAGATCAATCACCCCTTCAAACCACTGCCAGAAGGTGAAGTTTCGACCAGGCAGAACTTCCTGTGTTAAAACAGTCACAGAAATAATTATTCACACCAATTCGCCAGTCAAACCTTCTGTGAATGTTATCTACAATAACACATTTTTTTAATTAGGTGCTAGGGTCTCTAGACTCTTTTTTATTATGTTTAGGAGTCTTGAGAAAGCATGGGAAAATTATATAAATTTATCACACAACTTATCCAAGATTGTTTCACTATGTAAATGCTGTCAGTGAGTTAATTAAAGCATAACTAAGACAAATAATCAACTAGTTAGCTGTTAAACATCACATGCTCATAATATTGTATATCAATGCACGTAAACAAAGTGCAAAATGCACGTTAGTGGCACCTTGTTGAATTGAGCCCAGGACACAGGTATATCTCCGAAATCTTGAGCAATGTCTGGCTGGTCAAAGATCTTCTGTGCAAGAAAGTGAAGGTTGTATCCGTCCAAGGCCCGGTGCGTCTGCACCTCAGACATGAACTTACTGCTAAGAGCTTCACACATCTGCTTCCAGGGCACACGCTCCGGAATGACGAACGGTATCCTGTTCTGAATTCAGCACAACACAAGGCACATGTTGCCTATTTGTTAACAAAACATTACAGAGGGTTGACAACAGGGCAACAAAAGAGCTGTTGTGTGGTTGTTCCGTGTTACTCACAGGCTCAGAGAAGGCGCAGTCCCATATGATGGTCGCCATAGCATTGATTTCCTGACTACCATGTACAATTACAACCACAGGAAGAGAGATTGTCTGGGAGAAGAAAAAGACATTTAGTTATTGCTGTTACCACACATTTTATATCAGTCAACTATTGGGTTATTATAATTAACTGAAGCGTGACCAGTGTCTGAGGCACGTGTAACATCACAGCAAGATTCTTTGGCGGACGACAGTCCATGACGTCAGAAGCGGAGTGCCCATGAATATAAAAGGGTGCCTGTTTTACACGTCATCAGCCTTTTTTGTCTTCAGGAGACGTTTTGTTTGTAGCATGTGATAATCAAAGACGAACTATGGATAAACCAAGCAGCATGTGCTTTAAAAAGTGCGTTTCATGACACCTGCGCATGCCCACGATCTTTGCGTTGTTTGCTTGGGAGCAGAGCACGTGCTTCTAGCACTTGAGGCATGCGTTCACAGTGAAGAAGCTCCTTTCACGCTTTGCCTTCTTCTCGAGAGATGAGGGACAACCATATGCACTTCGCGTTTCGGGTTTTGCTGAAGCACAGCAGAGACTTAAATCGTGGGGATCACAGGTCAAGCTTGAGCGATCTGCTGGATCAAGCAGATAGCATGTTGCTTGTGCCATCTAGCTCTGAGGAAATAGATGTAGCTAGAGGGGATGAAGAGGGTGAAATTGTTGAGCCCTCTCCTTCCGTCAGGCCCGCATACAGGGAATTGCTGGATGTAGTGGCCCGGGCCACGACCAGGTTGCATCTTGGTCGTGTGAGAAACAGAAGAAAGTGATTCGATGAGCGATTCCTGATGGGCCATGTTTGTCCCACGAGCCTGCTGTTTCTTCCAGATCTGCACACTGAGGTGGAGAGATCATAGAAGAGGCCATATTCAGCCTGTATTTATCCTTTTCCACATTCAAATGATTTGAATACAGAGGGTTTATTACGCTGACCAGCCATCTTTTGCAGGGTGAGGCATCTTCGTTAAAGGCTCCAGTCTTGCCATCTAAACCCGCCCTCCAAGAAAACACACAGCGCTGTCCTCGTCAGGAGAGAGCAGTTCTCAATGCTGGCGAATTGCTGCATTTCTTCGGTAAAATGGTTTGTATACGTTTTCTTTCATCTATAAAGTCTTTACTGTGCTGTAAATCATTTTATTTAACGCAACGCAACATGCAGGGATGAGATGTCAGTCAGCATTGGTCGTCTCGCATGATAAAAACACCTTTTTCCAATAAAACAAATAAAACTAAAACTGAAAATAAAAACTTACAAAAATGACAAAAACACACAAGAAAATTACTAAAACTTTAAACTAAAATTAAAATGAAATTAGAAAATATAAAAATAAAAACTAATTCAAAATATTAATAAACACTATATATCTGAATGATACTAAAATAACACTGATTTGAGCCAGCTTCCATTTTTGTCTTATTTCAACAATTTTAACGATTTCACAAGCTAGTGTGCTTGTATACAAGCTAGTGTCTAACACAATTCTACATTTTTTTAGCGAAGCAGAATTATGAGTATTTGAATGTGTATTGAAATGTGCTATATAAATAAACTTGCCATGCCTATGTTGACAAGAACCACAATTGCAGTAATTATGCACAAAAATATTTGGTAACACTTTACAACAAGGTTTCATAAGTTAAAACTTGTTAACTACATTAATTAACATGAAGTTATAACGAAATACACGTCTACAGCATTTACTAATCTTTGTTAATGTTAATTTCAACATTTACTAATATGTTAATAAAATCAAAAGTTGTATTTGTTAACATTACTTAATGCACTGTGAAGTAACGAACAAACAATGACCAGCTGTATTTTTATTAAATAACATTAACAAACATTAACAAATACGGTAACAAATGTATTGCTCATGGCTAGTTCATGTTAGTTAATATATAAACTAATGTTAACAAATGAAACCTTATTTAAAACTGGTACCAAATATTTTACAGGTAACTATACTCTTATTGTCACTAACAATAATTACATAAGTACATCATGATTATTGGTGGGTTAAACTAATATTAACACACACAAAACAAACACTGCAAAACACACACACACAATATATATATATATATATATATATATATATATACAGTCAACCCAACATTTATTCAGACACCTTCAACATTTCTCACATTATCACAGTTTATTAGCTATAGTTTAGAAATTGGTAATAAAATATGACAAGAACTAAGAGTTATCAAATCAGTGGATATTTAATTGGTTTTGGCGATCCTACTGTTAGACTGTCTCACAAATGAATTAGGTTGAATTGCTGTCAGCTGTTAAATTTAAGTACACAATTAGATAATATCAATTTAGGTCAACCAATTACCAAGCAATGCTTAATTTTGTTAAGTCTGTGGTGTAAAAATGTCGCATTAGCAATTAAAGAAAAAACACTCAAGCAAAACATGGTCAGGTCAAAGTATCTGAATAATTTTTGTTACCAAATTTGTATATATTTTACTGGTAGTCCACAGTATGAAGAATTTTTGAGTATAATATGTCACAGTTTACATTATTTTGCTATCCTCACTTACATAAATTAACTATAGTGTCCTGCACCCACTAGTAAAAAAATATCAAACATTATATCTGGTGTCTGATTAAATTTTTGGTTTGACTGTATATATATATATTTCATAAATCAGTAAAAGAAGAGGGGCAACCACCTGAATGCCATAAGAGCTCTCACAGCCTGTGATGGTTATTTCTGTGTTGAACAACAAAGCAAACTTTTCCTCCGTCACTGATTCAGAGCCTTTCCTGTCAGCTCGTTTGATCTTCTTTATGGACTGAAGAGGAGAAAACATGTCTTATAAGAGTGATTTTTTTCAAAAACATTAACTTAACATGACAATATCGATATGACAACAAGATAAAGCAAAAAACAACACTGTTTGTGACAGAACAGGGCAAATCCATCTATTTTTCACCATCACCCACCATGTTTCTAAAGGTAGCACATGTGCTCTTGCTAGCGGTGTTGTGTTCTAAGATAGCCGTGTAGTTGAGAAGATCACCAACATTTTCACTAAGTGGAGAAAAACAGACAGCAAATGATTATAAAACATTTGCATATTTTATATGTGTATGTTAGACCTCTAAAATATTGTATCGCCTCTGTATGGTTAACAGCTCAACTGAAACCCTGAATCTGTTTGCTTATCTTGTTGTGCCTCCACTTCCTCTTTAAGTCTGAGAACAGCAACAAAGGCTGTCAAATGTATGACATGTATGACAGCTTGGATGGGCAGATTTCAACATATGGCAAAAGGCACAAAAGTAACATTACGACACAATTACACTTAAGTTCTAGATCAAAGATGATACTGCGCATGCAGTAACAGCACATGCAACATGCTTTTGCATCATATTTTCTGTTCAGTATTGTTTTTTTGGTATAGAGATGGGCACAAATACATGAAAATGTATTTAAAATAAAAATACCTCAGTTGAAATGGATCAAAATATAATACCAAATACAGTGTGGAATTTTTATTTATTTAAATACAAATACAGTATTTAGTTTTTTGAAAATACTCAAAATACATGTGAAATAGGCCATTCAGTTTAGCATCACTATTAGGCTGAAATCTATCTGGACCTATACAGAATTTTCGTGTAACTACTTAGAAGAAACTTTTGTCTTAATTTCACCTACCTCTACCACCAAATTTTCAAAAAGACTGGGTTTAAGGCATCTGTGTGCCATTTCTATACCTATTTCTGACCAGGTTACACTGCAGTCTATTACTTGTGGTGAACACTACTTAGGCCCCGTCCAAAATGGAAGCCTAACCCCTTGTGATCTTCCTCCGAGTCCACACTTTTGTGACGTAATACTGCTTTGGCTCTGCCCCAAATGGCACACATAATGTACACTTGAGGTCTTGTTCATTAAGTCCACAAGATCGTAGGGTGTCCCATTTGTCATTTTAGGTTTCAGAAGGGTACTCGCAAGCAGCCCCTAGATGTGCACTTTTTCCAAGCCTGCACTGAAGCGGGCTCCGCAGCAGACTACCTGACAGTCAAAGCGGCGTTACGTCACGAAAGTGTGGACCGGAGGAAGAACGCGAGGGCTTAGGGCTCCATTTGGGACAGGGCCTTTGACTGTTGGGTAGAAATTTGCTGTGATTGTAAGTCTACAAGACCGCAAGTGCACATTAAGTCTCAGTGCACTAATACCGAGTACGAGTTCTCTTTTGCATTGCCACTGCTCTTTTATTCCTTCATGTTAACCAAAGACAAAGCTGAATGATGTTTTGTTTTAACCTTACAACCAACAAGTAGAATTGACCATGACATCCTCACTAAATCTTACTCCTTATGAATACCAATGCAGAAAATTTGCTCACCCAATGCTATATGGAGTCATACATCTGCAGCTCATGCATGAAAGTTGGGGTTTGGGGCCTGAACTAGTTGATACAGGAAATCAGCAGCCTAATAAAGAGGTTGACTGGCACAAAGTATTTTATGTATTTTCAAAATACAAAAATACTAAGCTTAAAGCTGCAGTCCGCATTTTTTCCTCTTTGTCGCCATCTCTGTTTGAAATCTGCAATTGCAGTCATTCGCGGAATTATCAACTTTACGTGAGTTCGAGTTGTACTTCGACACGGCACAGCGCGGATGAACGTGGATGAACACAATGTTTGAGGAGAGTGTGCAGCTGTCAATCACCGTGCCGGTGAAGTCTTTTGTATTTTATTTTACAACGGGTGTGTCTCAGTTGTCACTGGTGATTGTCGTTTGAACCTTTCTGGATCCGCCATCAAATTGATAAGTTTAATTATATCAAGTGCTGTGAGAAAAGGCTATAAATCTCCACCTCCAACATCCTCACACGCAATATAGCTTATACTAGCTGAGACTCCTTCTTTATGTGTACAGATGTGACGTAATGACCCAAAGACATGCTCGAATCTCCCGCGGAAATCCACCAGTACCACTGGAGTTAAAAACATTATTACAAGCTTACCGCTTTGAATCGAGCTAAGGCAAGCAGATGGTTTTGAACACTGGCTGGTTATGCATTTTCTCAAATATGTATTTTGGATAATTTTTAACCCAAAAAAAGCTACGAACTGCAGCTTTAAATGTGTTTAAATAGAAATTACATTTGATTCTTTTCAAAGGTTTTAAAATACAAAATAGTATTTTGTATTTCAAATATGTATTTTTAATACATGTATCTGAAATACTGCACATCCCTATATACATTACATTTTATTCTCAGAAGTCGTTACAAGATAAATTCAATTTTTCATTTTAAAATTACTGTGCGACCTTAATTTAGTTAGTATCTGTAAATAACATATAAAGCCTATAAAGCGGGCTATATATCTTTTAAAATAATATGGTAACACTTAACAATAAGCCTTGATTCTTTAACATTAGTTTATGCATAAGGCATCATGAACTAACAATGAACAATACTTTTACAGCATCAATTAATTCAGGTAAATGTTATTTTAGAAATACACTATTGTACATTGTTATTCATGTGTTTATTCATAAAATAATGCATTCATTTATACATCTTGAAATGTTAAAAAATGCATTAGTATATACTACCGTTCAATAGTTTTGGGTCTATAAGATTTTTTAAATGTTTTTGAAAGAAGTCTCTTATGCTCACCAAGGCTGCATTTATTTGATCAACAATACAGTAAAACATTAATATTGTGAAATATTGTAAAATATAATTTATTCCTGTGAAGGCAAAGCTGAATTTTTAAGCCATTACTTGATGCCATTACAATGATTTTTCAGAAATCATACGCTGATTTGCTGCTCAAGAAACATTTTTTATTATCAATGTTGAAAACAGCCGTGCTGCTTGATATTTTTGTGGAAACCCATGATAAAACGTTTTCAGGATTTGTTTATGAATAAAAAAAAAAAAAAAAACATTTATATGAAAAGTAAATCTTTTGTAACATTATAAATGTCTTTACTGATCAATTGAATGCATCCTAGCTGAATACGTTAGTGGATGTAAAAAATTAACATACATTTAAAATATTATAATTTATTTATATTAATAAATGGTGTAAAATTATTGCTCATGGTTGGTTCAATGTACCTTATTGAACCATACTGTAAAGTGTTATCCTTAATATAATTATTGCTATCAATTTATTGGTAATAAAACAAAAAAACTTAAAAAAATAATAAAAAAAATATTTCTGTACTTGTGATTCTTAATAGATACTTGTGTTGTGTGTGTATTTAAATAAGACAACATACTTACTTGGGTACGATACTTTGTTGTCCCAAGTTTCTTGCTTGCGCCTCAGTAATAATCTGCGCTTTCAATACGACGGGTTTTCCAGGGACCATCTTCTCTCCCAGCAGATAGCGTACAGTGGAGGAAAACTTGGATTGGGTTTTGATGACCTGGGGAGGTTGCTTGTCTACTACCAATGAACTGAGTTGCCAAGACAAAGAAAGTACAATATCAAAGGCTAGAAGAAAAAGCACTGATTATTGTATGCAATTCACAAGTTGCATACAATAATCATCTGTTGTGATTGCATGATGAGTAACTACACTGCAATCTCATCTTTCTCAGAACTGAAAAAGGCCTGAATACTTCTGTATGAGAGTCTGGAGCAGAAGTGCCAGGCTTTCCTGCAACGTGTGAAACTCTTCAGCCTCTCCGTGGTCAGCCTTCATCAACATGAGCTCCTGCTTCAGATTGCCATTCACCCCAAGCAACTGCTCACACCTGCAACAGAACAGGTAGGAAAGAGAATGTGGAAGACACAGAGACAGAAGGCCAAATAAGGCAGATGCCAACAGGTTGCAAGACATCATGCATGACGACAAAACAAGGTGGAGTGAAACAAAATATGATCCAGAGTACATTAAATATGGGTGCACTTTCTGCAAGGATTCTGTAATGAAACTCTAGATGGCACAGGCTAATAGGTCCTTAACTCAAATGCTTGCAATCATATCATTCTCTATAGGGCACAGCTGATTGGTTCCAATGAGCTTGCATGCTCATTTGCCTTAGCAGTACAACGCGCTTTCAGAAATCCAATGAAATTCAACATCTAAGATAAGTGAACGGTCTTTCTTATGGTATATATAAATATGCGTTTTGGGTGGTCTGCTTTGTCAATTCCTTATGAAGTAACCATACATGAGGTTTAATATCATGTGTCATGTTAACATGTCCATTAGCATGTCAAAACCCAAGTTTAGCGTTTTCTCATTGCTAAGAAAGATTCTCTAGCGAAATGAGAGGATAATATATCTAATGTATCTAATGTCAGATGAAACAATTTCAGTATGCTGCATTTAAAGTTGAAACAAGTGCGTGGGGGCCATGTCAGCCGTGCATAAGACAGTGTACTCACTTATTTATGAATGGGAGAAAGTGCAACAAGCAATAGGGTGGGATAGGCCCGACTTCTAAATAAAAGAGCCAATCGCCGATCAGTCATGTCATTATGTCACTGCAGCTGCCGTTAGAAGCTGGTTGCTATAGAAACAGATGAGAGTCGTTGCTTTCCTCATACTATTTGCTCAGGTGGTTGTGGGGAGTTTCTTCTCTGCAACGTGATATTCATAAAGCCACACATAAATGAGTTCTTATTAGATACGTTTGTGTCTTTTTGGCTCAGGCACACATACTGTTGGGAAAATAATTGTTTGATCCCCTGCTGATTTTGTAAGTTTGCCCACTTACAAAGAAATGAAGGGTCTATCATTTTTATGGTAGGTTTATTTTAACAGATAGAGACAGAATATCAACCATAAAATCCAGAAAAACACATTATATAAAGGTTGTAAATTGATTAGCATTTGATCGAGTGATCGATCCCCAAGCAACTAGCAAGAATTCTGCCTCCCACGGATTGGTTATGTGCCCATGTGAAACACAGATTAGCCCTGTCTGTCACTTTAAGAAAGTACTTCTAATGTCAGTGGACACCTGTCCACAGAATCTGTATCTTCCATTCCAACGTCTCCCCCACCATGGGCGATACCAAAGAGCTGTCAAACGTCAGGGATCAGATTGTAGACCTGCACAAGGCTGGAATGGCCTACAAGACCATCAGCAAGAAGCTTGGTGAGAAGGAGACTTTTGTTGGTGGGATTATTCGGAAATGGAAGATATACAAAATGAACAATCAATCGCCCTCGGTCTGGAGCTCCATTCAAGATCTCGCCTCATGGGGTACGGATGATCATGAGAAACGTGCGGGATCAGCCCAGAACTACATGGGAGGAGCTTGTTAATGATCTCAAGGCAGTTGGGACCACAGTCACCAAGCAAACAATTGGTAACACACTACGCGCAATGGATTGAAATCCTGCAGCGCCCGCAAGGTCCCCCTGCTCAAGAAGGCACATGTACAGGCCCGTCTGAAGTTTGCCAATAAACATCTAATGATTCAGAGAAGGCTTGGGAGAAAGTGCTGAAGTCAGATGAGACCAAAATTGAGCTCTTTGGGATCAACTCAACTCATCGTGTTTGGAGGAAGAGAAATGCTGACTATGACCCCAAGAACACCATCCCTACAGTCAAGCATGGAGGTGAAAACATCGTGCTTTTGGGCTGTTTCTCTGGTAAGGGTACAGGACGACTTCACTGTATTGAGGGGCCGATGGACGGGGCCATTTACCGTAAAATCATGTACGAGAACCTCCTTCCCCCAGCCAGAACACTGAAGATGGGTGGTGGATGGGTCTTCCAGTATGACAATGACCCAAAACATACTACCACCAAGGCAACAAAGAAGTGGCTCAAGAAGAAGCACATTAAGGTCTTGGAGTGGTCTAGCCAGTCTCTAGTCCTTAATCCTATAGAAAATCTGTGGAGGGAGCTGAAACTTCGAGTTGCAAAGAGACAGCCACGAAACCTTAAAGGGTTCATATAATGGTACATGCACTTTTTCAAGTTGATTGCACTGAAATGTGTGTTGGCAGTGCCTGGATACACAACCATCATATAATGATAAAAATCTATCCAGTGTTTTTGTTTTAATCTCCTTATATGTTTTTCCCTGCCTCAAATCGAGCCGTTCGACCGTGTGACGCCCCTCCCACAATTGTTGATTGACAGCAGCGTTTCGACAAACACCCGCCCTGAGCGAGCTGTCACCATAGTCCATCATTGTTGATATGCTGGAGCAGAATGGCGTCTAAGCCATTGTGGTGTTCTGTTCTTGGGTGTAATAACAAACACAGCAGTCATTTTAATGTTCCTAAATCCGAACCGCTGAAGACACAGTGGCTGAGTTTTGTTTTCGAAGGGAATATTCCCCATGAGCAACGTCAATGCTTTCATGTTTGCGCGATTCGCGAATCTTTTCTCACCAGACTGCTTTATAAACGAGGGTCAGTATGTAGCTGGTTTTGCTAAGAAGCTGCTCCTAAAAAAAAAAAGGATCGGTACCAACTATTCATTTCCCTGCTGCACCTCCAGACGAAGTGAGTGTCAAATTGTATTAACCTTTATATTAATCTTTGCAAATCGTTTGCATGCTTCACGATGAATGTGCCTAAGGTTTACACTCAGGGTACATTACGGCATGTTTTCTATGTTCGACGTTCTCAATATAATTCATAATCCCACGTTTATAATGAACAACGCGTTATGGTTATTGTGTTATTACAAACTGAGTACGTATACATCAGTAAACACATAGCGTTCGTACATCTCAATAAGTTACTCTACCCTGCCAGTACACAAAGATAGATCAAAGTGACATTATGTTAACCAACCATTCAGAAACGTCCTGTTCGAGCCTTAATTGTCGAACTTCTTTGCGGCCGTCATCTTGTTCCGGGTGCGACTCCGGTACAAATTGATACGGTTGCACAGATGTGTCCTCAGAGACTCCCGCTGCCATTCTTTCTCCAAAATATACCCTCAACTGTTGTCAAGGCAACACTCTACGTGCGTTGTGTCAAAACGCCCGCAGAACAGAGGGGCGGAGTGAGCGAAGCTCATTATCATTTAAAAGGCATATGCACTGAAACAGCGTGCTGAAAACAGAGCTGTTTTTGACCAGGTAAAATGAGTGTTTTCTTACAATACTAATGAGAATTTTTAATTGAAGTATATTACAAACTTTTCATTTAGACCCTAAAGAATCAAATTAACTTGTATGAAAATGGCATTATATGACCCCTTTAAGGATTTTGAGAGTATCTGTAAAGAGGAGTGGACCAAAATCCCTCCTGAGATGTGTGCAAACCTGATGACCAACTACAAGAAACGTCTTACCTCTGTGCTTGCCAACAAAGGTTTCTCCACCAAGTACTAAGGCATGTTTTGCTTGGGGATCAAATACTTATTTCACTTACTGAAATGCTGTCTCTGTCAGTTAAAATAAACCTACCATAAAAATTATTGATCCTTCATTTCTTTGTAAGTGGGTAAACTTACAAAATCAGCAGGGGATCAAATAATTATTATTCCCACAGTAGTTTAGGCCACTAGAGTTAAAGGGGTCATATAATGCCATTTTTGTACAAGCTAATATGATTCTTTAGGGTCTAAATTAAAAGTTTGTAATATACTTTAATTAAAAATTCTCATTAGTATTGTAAGAAAACACTTATTTTACCTAGTAAAAAACAGCTCTGTTTTCAGCACGCCGTTTCAGTGTATTTGACTTTAAATGATCATGAGCTTTGCTGACTCCGCCTCTCTGTTCTATGCGTACACCAGAGCCGGCTCTGGCGTACACCGTTTGTAACACAATAACACAATAACCATAACACGTTGTTCAGTATAAACGTGGGATTATGCATTATATTGAGAACGTCATACATAGAAAACATGCCGTAATGTCGATTTACAAGGATTAATATAAATATTAATATAAAGTTTAATAAAACGTTACACTCACTTCAGTTCTTCTGGAGCAGCTGCAGGAACACGAATAGATGGTACCGATCCTTTCAGGAGCAGCTTCTTAGCAAAACCAGCTTTATACCTCCTCGTTTATAAGCAGTCTGGTGTGTGAAATGATTCGCGCAAACATGAGAGCATTGACGTTGCTTGTGGGGAATATTCCCTTCGAAAACAAACTCAGCCACTGCGTCTTCAGCAGTTCGGATTTAGGAACATTAAAATGACTGCTGTGTTCTTTATTACACCCAAGAACAGAACACCACAATCGCTTGGACGCCATTCTGCTCATAGACAGTGCTCCAGCATATCAACAATGACCGCGCCGGTCCGCGCGGACTATGATTGACAGCTAGCTCACGAGCGAGGGCGGGTCTGTGTTGAAACCCTTCTGTCAATCAACAATCGTGGGAGGGGCGTGCGAGCTTGTGACGTCACAGGCTCGAACGGCTCGATTTGAGGCAGGGGAAAACATATAAGGAGATTAAAACAAAACCACTGGATGGATTTTTATCATTATATGATGCCTGTGTACAGGCACTGCCAACACACATTTCAGTACAATCAACTTGTAAAAGTGCATGTACCATTATATGACCCCTTTAAGCTATTCGGTGTGGTAGCCCAGACACACATGGTCATAGGCCACTAGTGTCAAGCCATTTGGCGAAGCAGGCCCAGGCACACATAGTCTAATAGGCTACTAGAGTCAAGTCATACGGCCCAAAAGCATTTGTAGCTAACACCACATATAAAAAGGGGGGGGGGGGGGGGAGGTTACACTAGTACACATAGGGCTACACTGCAAGATGCTTCACGCGCCTTATATGCACCTCATGGTAGCCCACATGTCTAACGACTAGATCTGCTTGGGGGAATACTGCGTAGGCAGATCTAGTCTGCCAAGACCAAGCATATGTCCCATTTCTTATACTCAAACAAATCTGAAGGGTTAGGCACACATACTGTAGCTAGCATACACGTGGTTCCTATGGGTCTTTGGAGCAGCAGCAATACATATGTTTTGGCGGTAGATCCGCTGGGGGGCTGAATCGTCATCTCCTTTGCTTCCTGCATGATGGGGGATTTTCTCTGACGTACAGTACACTTGGCTTGTATTGTTCAAATCTCATTGTCATCTCCTCTGTTGGGGGGTAATTTATGTACGCTATATTTTACAGCAGCAGCATGTCTTACTTGCTCACAGAAGCATGTCATGTATGTATTGGCAGTAGCAAGTCTCATACTTGCTCTGCAGCAGCAGCAACAAAACAGATCTATTCCACCAAGACCAAATATATCAACATTGTCATACCCATTACCATGCCAAACACTCAGAGAGTTGTTATGACAGAAATGAAAAGTTCTGTAATGAAACTCTAGATGGCGCAGGCTCAAACACTTGCAATAATATAATTTTCTATAGGGCACAGCTGATTGGTTCCTCCTGTATCAGTAGAGTAGCCAAAGAGCTTGCGTGCTCAAACTTAAAATGCTCAGTTAGCATTTGCCTTAGCAGTTTTCAGAAAGCCTACACCTTCCCCAGCTCTATCTGTATAGATCTGCTAAGGGCAATTCATGTATGCTATATTGTACAGCAGCAGCCTGTCTTATTCACAGCAGCATGTCATGTATGCATTGGCAGTAGCAAGTCCTGTCCTTGCTCTGCAGCAACAGCAGCAAAGCAGATCTATTCCATCAAGACCAAATATATAAACATTGTCATATCCATTACCATACCAAAGCCTCAGAGAGTTGCCATGACTGAAACATACAGTAGTTAGTGCCGCAATGAAAACAATGTGTTTTGTGTGAAATCTTGTTCACAGACCGCTGAAATTCAAGAGGCACAGAGAAACCAAACACTAAGACCATGAAGACAAACCTGTTGAGGTTTTCAAATAACAGCAACAAGATCTGATCACAACATTTATAAAAAAATAAAAAACAATCACACTTCTTTTGCATTTTATATTACAATATATTTCAGTTGATAATCAGTTGATGTCATATTAAAAAGTTTGCATATTGTTGGACCTAAGCAGCTCATGGTGATAAATAAATGTAATTAAAAAGTTAACAATTTGGTTGTAAGGGCATTTCTGTTTACTTTTGTATGATAAACAGTTTTGGTACTGTGTTGGGCCACCACTTGACATCTAATCTGAATCCTGAAGTGAAACTAGATCTCTAAGAGAACTATTTTCTTCATGCTCCACATTTAAAAAATGCATGACTAAATGATTCAAAAACTGTATAATAATATGAAAAGAGGTTCAATTGGGGGATAAAGTTCAAGAAGAGACATCCAGAAGTAGTGACAGAAATACTGTGACCTTGAAGGAAAAATGCATGGCATAAAGCCTACTGTTCAAGATGGCAAAAAAGGCCAAAGTAAACAAACTGAAAACTGAAAAGGAAAACCAGTTTGGTGGTGAAAGGTTTCCCCAAACAAACCTCTTGCATGGAAAGATTTAGCTGATAACATTCATACAGTAATACGACTATAACAAAAAGGTCCAGTGGTCCTCACCATGTCTGCAGAGAGCCAAGGTTGTCATCGAAGTGCACGCCAATGGTTGCTCGGTGCTGTTCCCACCTCCAGGACTTAATTCTGAGAATAAGACAGGACTGGCACTGCTCCAGGGCGTACACAGCCTCCTGAAGAAGCTGCACACGCTTCTGTAAACTCGCACAGATATACAAATCGTGAAAAACAGCTCCATTATAACTGCTTTTGTCTTTACCCTGATGAACTTATTATGATGTTTAAGCATGCATTTGGGCGTTTACCTTTGCACTAACTGAAAAGTTGTACTCAAGCTGCTTTATGCGATTCTGTCTAATGACTTGATCCGTATGCTGTTGATCCAAATCATTTTGAACTGTAGGGAAACAAGAAAAAATGTTTGCCTGTGTGCATGTAAGCCCTGATAATGATAACCCAGTCCAGGGGTTACGAACAGTTCACTTGTGTTGCGGTTCTTCATGGTGTTCATTTTATGTACACAAATTTATGTAAATGAGTATTCTCTGGTTATCACCTACTACGGAGTACAGTTTAAAACAAGTGGTGTTTGCTTACTTCCTGTATATCATAAAATTTTAACATGTGACTTTCTCATAAGGTATGAACATTGCTTCTAGGTCTGCCAATAAAGGTCTGCCAATTTGGCATAACCATGGTATTTTATCTGTCAAGCGAAGCATCAACAACTTTGAAACTCTCAGCTCACTCCAGAGATGAAACCTTTACAGATGTTACAGAGTTTTTGGTCCGATCGCTTTTTGCTTCCATTTCCCTTTTAGGATGTTTGGCTGGGCTGTGCAAGCATTTCACACTCTCCAAACTCATAACAACTGCTCCAAGCTCATCTATCACGCCTCTGGTTTCCCATATACAGACTGCCCGCAAAATAGTTGACAGGCAGGAAGTGCACCTTTTAATTGGCCAATCAAAATTATTCTGAAAAGGATTATATTTTAGGGAGTATGATCGTTTTCTGCATTCGATTTGATAAACAGTTGCTTACAGTGCGTTTTAATTAATTAATACGTTTTAAAAGTAATAAACAGGATATAAATGTAATAACTAACTGAGTACTCAATTATCTGCATCGCTGCACACAAATAAACATTAAACTGAATATTAACATATAGATATTAACAATTAATATAAGCACAACATTTTACTATACATGTTACAAGCAAATTTCTGTAACATGAAAAAAAACAACTTTAACACTAATAACATCTCAAGTTATTACTATTACACACAAAATATGGATCACCAGCATGTTTTAAGTATAGCAAAACTGTCTTTCCTTCATCCATCGCCCACATGCTAATATAAACAACCTCTGACAGAAACTGAAAATTAGCATAGTGCTGTTCCTGTTCAACTAGTAGTTAATGACGAATATTATGTTTTTGTTACCTATAGGCTCATAATGAGGAAAAGCAGAAAAAAATAACAGTTTATATAAATATTGTATATAAAAGCATTGTCACACTACATACTTTCAGTTTTGGCATATCACAACCTTGGATATCACAAACACTGGATAATAATTGTAATCATTATTACACACTGCTAATCATGTTGAGACTTGTTGGGGCCTTCATGACGGAAATTACTATTTACACATCTGTCTTATTGCATTTCTCCCTCTTCTGTTGCTGCTTAACTTTCTGTTAACCATTTCACAACAGCCATGCAGACAAAACCGTCACATTTGCCAAGTGTGCATTCGCACAGGGCCTTGTGCTTGGCCTGCAATAATACAGTTTTTTATACAAATAATTTTTTAATGGTTGATTTTGACACAACATGATTCTAAAATGAAATTCCTGTCTCAATTCCACTATGCATAGTCAAGGTAAAAAACAAAATAATTTAAATTTTCACTTTCAATTTCAATTTCAATTTCAATTTCAGAAGTCACTGTGAGGATCGCTGGGAAAAAATGTCAGCACTTCCAGAGATTTTGTGGCTGAGCAGTTTTCCAAAGCTAGTGGTTGTGGAAATGCTAATATGCTAATATGCTAGTATGATGATGATGCTGTATTATTCTGCTTGTTAAAAATGTATTGCACAGTTACATTATGCAGTAGAACTTATAGCTACAATATCTATGTGGGTGTGACCATGATTCATGCACATACATGTCATGTGCACGGTAGTTTGCAAAGGGCCTCAAACTTCCCTCAATGTCCTCCACCACACCCACCCCAACCCCAACCCCACCCCCACATCAGACCTGTATGTAGCCGTTTATACAGTATATAGGCGTGATTAGGACTTTATAGTCGCTGATTAAAAGTTGTGCTTGCCTTAGATTGTCAGAGAAAACATGCTCCACAAGATTCAGAATAAACTGACCTTAAGTTGGAAACTTTGCACACAGTTTACATTCTCCCCCAGAGTCCTTTTCCACTGTCATCAATAAGAAACTCTGTGACACTAGATCACCACCATGTAGCACTTCCTCCTCTTTTCCTTTTTAGAAAAAGCTTTACTAACTGTCTGGGTTTGAAAACACCTTTGATATCCTGAGTGCTTTGAACAAGGCAAGCTTGACCTTGATGGATTGATTGATTGTTTTCCAATGTTCGGACTATTTCATGAAATATATATCTTTATCTAATCATATATAAAATGTATATCTTTCATGAAATGGATATCTTCATAATAAGTAAGGAATTATTGACGACGGGCTGTTGAATTATTAGAAGACACACCCGAGGTGGTAATGCGGCCACAACGAGATTCGGCTCCACTGCTAATTCCAAAAAGTCAATTTAGAGTAACAGAGAGAGAGAGAGAGAGAGAGAGAGAGAGAGAGAGAGAGAGAGAGAGAGAGAGAGAGAGAGAGAGAGAGAGAGAGAGAGAGAGAGAGAGAGAGAGAGAGAGAGAGAGAGAGAGAGAGAGAGAGAGAGAGAGAGAGAGAGAGAGAGAGAGAGAGAGAGAGAGAGAGATCATTTATATTTAAAAGTTTCAAGGTCATTAACCAATTTACAATTTTTGTAAACAAGGACTGATTCGACGTCACAAGACTCATTGCCACTCAATTTTTCTTTTGTGACACCCAAATAGCCATTTTAACTAAAGTTCATTAAAACATGGGACTCCTTTTTACTCTTTTTATACTTAGGTCCATATATGAAATGCACAGGTGAAAAGACTTCTCCCAGGGTCTGACACCACCCATCTATCGCTGGAAACAACAGTTTTGTAATCTAGTGCAATCTTAAAAAATAAATGAAAAACAGTTTCTGGCATACCACAGAAAGGGCATCCTCCCTCACCTGTGGATCAAGACGTGCTCTGTGTCTGTTAGTAGCTATTATACCATGCACTAACCTCCACTGAAGATCTTGCTGAAAACTCCCAACTGAGGGGTCTTAAAAGATAATAGTCCACCCTCAGTTTCCCAGCTTTCAGTCTCAGCTGCAATTATTAATTCTGGCAAGTCACATATGTTCATCTCTCCATTATGAGTTTCTAAGGAAAGTCTATAACTGTGGCAAAAACTCAGCTATCCGAGTCAAAATTTTCTTTGCCACTCGAATTGATCTTATGCCCAATTTTCCAGCAAAAATCTCAGCTGATATGCATTAACATTCAGGTATTAAGTGTCCAATTTTTTAGATTTTTGCAGCCCACAGACGTTTCCTGAGTGATATGTCTTTAAAAATGTCCTGATTTAGAGAAGAGGTAAAAACCAATGGTTCTTCTCTCTGCCACAAACCTTGGGCTCCCGAGAAATCTTGAAAAGTGTCAATGCTTTTAAGAGCGATCTATAAAATGATGTTAATTCTGCAAGATCCATTTTATTTATGTCCATCAGGAACAGGTGGCGATCTAGTCCCATGTTGCCTGCTTTCCTCAATAGGGTACACGCTATCCCAGCCCAGCTCACGTCCTTCCCATAGAGGAGTCTCTGAGCTACTTGAAGTCTGAAGGTCTTTACTCTGGATCTGATGTCCACTAGGCCAGTGTTTCCCAACCCTGCTCCTTGAGGCACACCAACAGTGCACATTTTGGATGTCTCCCTTTTCTGACCCATATATTTCTGGTCTTGGAGTCTCTACTAACGAGCTGATGAGTTGATTCAGGTGTGATCGATTAGGAAGAGTTGGAAAATGTGTAGTGTTGGTGTGCCTCCAGGGCTGCGTTCCAGTCCACTTTTAGACGCGCACTTGCGAACTTCCCTAAGCACTTCCCCTCGGGGGAATCCCTGCGGCCATTTTGAAGTGCGTTCCACTTCGTGAAGTGGATGAGGGAAGTTTATATGGACAGACACTTGTTACCTCGATTTTGTCCGAGGGAGCGAGTCTACTTCATATGTACACTTCAGGCAGCTCCATATACCACAATGCAACACAATTGTGACGTCACCGCAGATCTCGTCTAATCACCACCACCACAAACAACTCTGATATATTAATTAAATATATATATTTAATTTAAAACAACCCAAACACACCTATATACATTTGGATGCTGCATTAAACAAATTCTTAAAGGAAAAAAATGTAAAAAATAAATTAACTCCAAGTGATCAAGGGCTTAGGACGTTCCAATTCAGCCAATTGCAGTTTCCGCCAGTAGTGGGCACTCGTGCTTAGTAAGCAATGACGTACATCCGAGTGAACAAGACGGAGGGAAGTTAGCAAGTGAAGAGCATGACAATTTTGGACTGGAACGCAGCCCAGGAACAGGGTTGGGAAACACTGCACTAGGCCTTGTCCTCCTTCCTGTCTGGGCAGATACAGCACTGGAGCTTTTAACCAATACTATCCTGACCAGAAAAAAATCCACCAGAAATCTCTGAATTTGTCTCACAAGGTCTTCTGGAGGTTCAAGGATCATCATTCTGTGCCAAAGGGAAGAGGCTACGAGGTTGTTACATCTCAGCACCCTTTCCCTGTAGGACAGCTGGGGCAGCAACCATTTCCAATGAGACAACCGCGCACGTACTTTCTCCAACAGGCCCTCCCAATTTTGCTTTCTGTACTCAATTGTCCCCCAAAAAACTCCCAGATATTTAAAACATGCCCTACCCCATTGTAAACCAGCAGGAAGTGAAGGACTTTTAGCAACTTGGCCACACCACACAGCATCGCTTTTACACCAGTAAACTTTGGCGGATGATGCCTTTCCATAGCACTCCGGAGCATGCTTTACCACTTCAACATCTTCATCTCATCTGATTAAAATTTTAATATCATCCGCATATGCAGATAATTTGACAGATTGATGGGAGTTTAGAAAATTAATTTGTAGACCTTCCAGGTCTTTCCTTAGTTTACATAACAAGGGTTCAATAATTATAATATAAAGTTGGCCCGAAAGGGAACAGCCTTGTCTAATTCCCCTCTCAATTTTCACAGGGATACTTAGACAACCAGCCATTTTTATCATACTGTATATGTGGCTTCAGTGTACAATAACCGTATCACCAAAATGAAAGCCTTCTCTTGGTCTAATAATGATAAAAATCCCATTTCAATCTTGTTATAAAAAGCATAGTCATACACATCTCTCACTAAATGTAGGTTATCTACAATAGATCTATCTTTTATACAGTAAGATTGATCTTTATGTATGATTTCATGCAGTACATTATTTAATATGGTGGCCAAACATTTAGAATTGATTTTGTAATCCGAAAACAAAACTGTCACAGGCCTCCAGTTCTTTAAAGGAGAACTCCGGCGCAAAATGAACCTTTGGTCTAATTACACATTGTTACCTAGTCAACCGTTATCTGAGATTTGTTTTCATGATTATCGAATGTAAATAGTTTTATCTCTAAAAACAGTTTAGCCTATAAAGCTAGTATAACGCTAGTATATTGGGCATAGTGTAATGACAAATAAAAATCACTTGTTAATACCACTAACAAGGCTGAAAATAGACCCACACTAACACGGTAGCATAATGAGGGTCCCTACCTTCAAACCGAAGCATTGAGAACTTTGTAAGTGTACAGATAGTTTAATAAGAAGATATTTTTAACATACAGTCAACTTCGCGTATACAGACAGGAGCCATCTTTGAAATACAGCCTTTACCAGTCGATCTACGAACGCCGATCCAAGCCTGCTGTTCGCGCTCACCTTATCACAACTTATAGCTCGTTCACATTCTCACCAGCGCACTTGGATCGGCGTTCGTAGATCGACTGGTAAAGACTGTATTTCAAAGATGGCTCCTGTCTGTATACGCGAAGTTGACTGTATGTTTAAAATATCTTCTTATTAAACTGTCTGTACACTTACAAAGTTCTCAATGCTTCGGTTTGAAGGTAGGGACCCTCATTATGCTACCGTGTTAGTGTGGGGCTATTTTCAGCCTTGTTAGTGGTATTAACAAGCGATTTTTATTTGTCATTGATCTATGCCCAATATACTAGCGTTATACTAGCTTTATAGGCTAAACTGTTTTTAGAGATAAAACTATTTACATTCGATAATCATGAAAACAAATCTCAGATAACGGTTGACTAGGTAACAATGTGTAATTAGACCAAAGGTTCATTTTGCGCCGGAGTTCTCCTTTAAGAGTGTTAAATCCCCCTTCTTAGGGAGTAGTGTTAGCACTACACGCTGAATGCTATTAGGAAGAATTCTTTCAGTGACACTTTTTGATGAACTTCAAAGTAATCATGTCCAAGAACAGGCCAGAAAGCCTTATAGAATTCGCTAGACAATCCATCTATTCCAGGTGTACGGCCTACAGAGAGTCCCATCACAGCAGCCGTGACTTCTTCATAGGTAAGTTCAGTCTCTAAAAAAAGTTTGTGCTTTGAGGTAAGCTCGTTTCTACATTGTTCATCTGATTTTTCAGAGGCGCATAAACTTGAATAGAAATCCACAGCAATTTTACGCATCTCTGTTTGATCAGAAGTGTCTCGACCATTAGTCTTTTAAACAGTACATCAAATTCTCGTGTCCCTTTTTATGCTCTAGGTTAAAAAAAAGGAAGTAGGAAAATCCATATACGTATCTTGCTGCTACAAAACGACTCCTTACAAGAGCTCCTTTCACTCTTTCATTTAAAATTGAGCTCAGCAGGTTAGTCTTTTCAGTCTTTAAGTCAGAGTCAGATCTTTAAGATTTACAGTCATTTGCAATCATACTTCGCTCAATATCAATAATTTCTTTTTCAAGACATTCCAAAGACATTTTTATACAAAACGAAGAATGTGATAAATATTGTTGACAAAAATTCCTTATTTGTACCTTCCCTATTTCCCACCCTTGAATGCAATTTTCGGAACAATTCTTCTCACTCTTCCAAACTCCCAAAATAACTTTAAAAAAATAAAATAATAATCTTCTAATTATTTAGCATCAAAATACCAATAATGACTTTTATGCATTCTTTTTAAGAAAGTACACTCAAAAGTGACATATTTATGATCAGACATTGAGGTGGGACAAATTGTTAAATTTAGAACCCTGTTCCTCATGTTATGTGACATATAGAGTCTATCCAAACGTGCAGCAGAAACCTTCTCATTACTAATCTTCAACCATGTATACTGACGTGTAAACAGATTTTGTTCTCTCCATACATCAGATAGGTTTAGATTTTTAAAAACATTGGCTAAGCAGTGCACAATTGAAATCTCCTCCTAATATAATGAGATCTCCTTGTGTTATTGTTTTAAAAAATCTTCTAATTTAGTGAACAAGCGTATTCTCTCTGCACCTATATTTGGAGCATAAATATTCACAAAAAGAAAAATAAGATTGCTAATTTCTGCCCTCACAATCAGCAATCTCCCTGGATCAACTTCATTTTTTACTTCAAGAGTTTCACTTTAACAATAGGGGGAAAAAGTATGACTAAGGACTTTTTCTCCTTCCCACTATAGGCCCCATTCAGCCTCATTGCTTTGATCACTGTGAGTCTCTTGTAACAAAAAACCACACCTATATCTTTCAAATGTATAATCTCTGAAAGTAACCTATTCTTTCTCCTATCTCTCATCCCACTAACATTTCGAGAAAGAATTAGCAGTAATCATTATTATTGCGTTTTTCTTTTGCCTTTCCCCTCGTTATACTTTCTTTCCCTGTTTGGTTTCCATGTCTAATAATTTTTGTGGAGCTCTTCTGTGAGAGCTCTTCAAGGCTACTTGTTTTCCTTGCCCATACAACAGAGGCAATAAACTTTTCAAGATCTGGAAAAAAAAATCACAGACTTCTAAACCTGCTTTTCCTTTTGTTTCATCTAAATAAAGAGTTGATCTGTTCAAGAGTATACATATCTTTTTCAGACACTTTTGCCATATCAGATGTATCTGACCACTGCTCTTCATTTCTCAAACTAGCATCAGTACATTGGGACAATTCATCTAATTTTATAATAACTAATTTTACTGTCCAAAAGGATCAAGCTGACAAAATATTACATTTTACATTATTAAATCTGGCAGGAGTACCTTCCTAAAGCCATCATATTAGACATTGTTCGAAACAGATTAGGATCTTCTACCTTGCATGGGCTCTATTTCCTGTTTTTCCCAATTCAAATCCTCTTGTAGCTGATAAAGCGTTTGTCGGCAGTTCTGAATTTCCAAAACTTTGAGCACCAGAATGTCCACATCAGCCTTAGAATCCTCCCTTACAGGTTGTGGGGTGCCATTGGCAGCTGGAGGACCCCCAGGCATGGGCTGAAAGGGTGGGAAGCCTATACCCTTTAGACAAACACACAGACAAAAAGAGCAATGACACAACGGACATTTACATTACATATTACACATAAATGTTCTGATACTTCAGAATTAAAGGTTTTTTGGGCTAACTACCTGTCCTAACAAGTGTCTTTCTTTCCTTAGCATATCTCGAACCATCCTCACAAGTTGCATGGGTTGTGGCTGGTACACACTCTGAGGAATAATTCATGAGGTTACATAGTAAATAGTCAGAAATACAAACAGTGTGCTCAATGTCACAAGTCAACGTGGCAGGCTGCCAATAGTAAAAAGTATTTCTGTATTGTGATCCATAAGTGTTCACAATGTAAAAGAAATGAAAATCAACATGATTCATGTTATATAGCATATAATGGATCTTTAAAAAAAAACTATAATTTTTGCATTGCAGTGCAATAACTCCTTGTATTGACATAATTAAGACAACTGTCCTGGACATCCCACATGGTGATGTAGATCATATAAAGCAGGAGTTTTCACTTTTTCATGCCATGGGCCCTCAAATATGAGTACTCTCCTCCTAAACTATAATGGCAGCAATATATTTCCATGTATAAGGACCCATTTACACTGTGTGAGAAAAAGTGTGCTGTTAAAGACATTTTGTTATTTGTAAAATGAAATAATTACCTTTTATATTGTTACTATATTGAAGCCAAAGCAAATTATTAAATATAGAAAATGTTGATTTTGTACATGTTGTATTTTTTCTACTCATTATTACAGTGAGAAATGTTAAATGTACAAAACTGAAGAGAAACTTTCAATTCAATTTAAAATTACACAAGAAATATTGTTCCAGAGCAGTTCGGTAAAAAAAAACATTTTTTCTCACATTTTCCATGGACCCCAGGGCCCCAATTTGAAAACTCCTGTTTTAAGATCATTATTTTAACTGGCTTATATGATGCAGCATCTTCAAGCCAGAAATAATTATGAGTGTTAGGATTGTTGTGCACACCAAGTTCTTGCTGCATTGTAGTAGTTTGACCTTCTCCACCACATTAGGGTTTCGTTGGGCCACATCCTGCAGCAAACGCACCATGTGATCCAACAGTATTCGGGCCCGAGGCTCCTGCTCCATGTTGTCTAGATCAAATTCCTCCCTAAATCAAACACAGACATGACATTTTTAAGTCATCTTTGGTAACTGTAGGGCCCTATGATTTCTGCGGTGCAGAAAATGCGGACGTAATCGCGGAATCCAGTCATGAAAACAGAATTTACTTTAAAATGTGGAATTTCAAGGAATTTCTCAGATTTTTAATGAAATAAAAAGCAGGACAGAACACTTGAATCAAAACGCGATATAGATTAGTGTCTGTGAATATTAAACTGCAAAAAGACCATTTAAAGGGTTAGTTCACCCAAAAATGAAAATTCTGTCATTAATTACGTTCCAAACCAGTAAGACCTTCGTTCATCTACGAAACACAAATGATGATATTTTTGATGAAATCTGAGAGCTTTCTGACTGCAACGTAATCACCACTTTCAAGGCCCAGGAAGGTTGTAAAGAAATCGTTAAAATAGTCCATGTACAGTAATTCAACCTTAATGTTATGAAGCGACAAGAACACTTTTTGTGCGCAAAAAAAATAAATAATAAAAAATAACAACTTTATTCAACAATTTATCTTCCGTGTCAGTCTGTTCACGTGAGCACCACGATGCATGCGTACGTGTGGTGCTGACGCAGGACCCTGGCAATAGAGTGCAGGTATGACATCACTTGCAGGCCAAAACGTGGAAACGAGTAAGCATTTTAGCACTTCAGGTTCCATTGTCCTGAAGTCAATTGGATTTTTTAAATGGGATTTTGGTTAAATGGCTGAAATAAGGTCTGTGGTGAACAAGCTCAAAATACTTTCACGGTTTATTCTATAAGACATAAAATACATCAGTTATACCCCCCTCGTGATTTTTTTTAAAATGTTACGTGTCTTGAAACAGGTGATAATCCAAAAAAAACCTATGGAAAACTTGGGTTTTTGTGGAGGGAACCAGTGTGATGCTAACTGCCGATTGGCCTACAAAGTGATGTCATATCTAACCCACTCGTTCTGTCGTAGAACCCAGAAGCGCTGCACTATGTTTACAATGTAAACAGCATCAGAGACTGACATGGAAGAGAAGAAATTGAGAATAATTGTTGTTTTTTTGCGCACAAAAAGTATTCTCGTCTCTTCATAACATTACGATTGAACCACTGTAGTCACAGAGACTATTTTAACGATGTCTTTACTTTCTTTCTGCGTCAGAAAATATCTTCATTTGTGTTCCGAAAATGAACGAAGGTCTTACGGGTTTGGAATGACATGAGGGTGAGTAATTAATGACAGAATTCTCATTTTTGGGTGAACTGTCCCTTTAAATATGAATCCTGCATGTTCTACGTGTCTCTGTGTGAATGAATGGACCAGACGTGCGGTTTCATAAGAATCTGTTATCTGCTTGACAAATCATTTATGCTACTGCTGCCCACTAACATGCTTCTAAAGCTATTGTTATCCAATTTGTTGGCCTTCAAACACCTTAAAATGCACATATGTAGGTCCGATAAATCCAAATTTTCCCCTTTCGCCCCTGCCTGCAGCACTGTAGCACAGAAAATAAACACATTGTTGTGTTCTGTACTACTGTCTTTGATTGTGTGTGATAATTAACAATGACTCATTCTTTCGGATATGAGATTTATATTTATATTTAATTGACCTTAGATTTAATTTAAAGCCCCGCCCTCCTTAGTTACTGTTGCTATCTCAGACAAACAATGGGGGACCAGTGCCCCAGTAGAGCTTTATGTCTAGCAATGCCCCTGGTCTCAAGTCATGCACAGTTGCGCACAAGAAAGTCAGCAATCATCGGACGTTTCAATCAAACAACAATTTAAAGAAATATTAACATACAGTAATAATCATGACATATTTTGAATGGGACTCGAGTGGACTCGGGAATAAGTCCGAGTCCTAATATGTTCGAGTACGAGTCAATTCCGAGTCAAAATGCACACGAGTCCATGACGAGACCGAGTCCGAGTCTCGAGTACACAACACTGAGTATTATTCTGACAGATCGCGATTGAGAGGCGAACTGATGGGAATGTGCTCTATTGTTAGGGGAGGGGCCAACCTCAGTGGCTCCAGTGCGTCATCGAAAACTGAAAAACTGTTTAACGGTCTAACTCCACAATTCAGTACTTCACAGTCCACAGTCTTTGTAATGTGTTTTAGCAATACATTTCTAACATTCATAATGGGTCTCATTCATGAAACATTCGTAAATATACGAGTAAATATGCGAGTGATTTGCGCGTAAAGAGACCTTCCCGAAAACTCTTCTCCTGATTCACAAATACTTCGTAAACGTCAGATGTGATAGTGAAATGTGTGTGTGTGTGTGTTAATGAATTCCAATCAGTCGTAAATGGGATGCGCGTGCACGTTCATTCTCAATTAGGCCTACCATAAATCCCGCCCATTAAATCCGACTGACAACTATATATGGGCATCATATTATGACATGAATGTGAATGAAAAAAAAAATTCTCAGATGCAGAATTTGAAGTTTTATTATCAGAAGTTCATTCAAAACGCCACATTTATTTTCAGGCGTACATAGTGGCGTATCGGGTCCTAAAAAAAAGGAAGCTTGGCAGCATATTACAGATGCAGTTAATGGAGTTTCATCTGTTAATCGAACATTCCCAGAAGTGAGAAGAAAATGGTTCGACATTAAGCTTGAGAGCAAAAAAACGAATTAGTTCACTTCGGAAAAATAGTATTCAAACTGGAGAAGGACCACCATCGCAGATGCTATTACTGGCTCTCATAATAAGAAAAACCGTATGTAATTACTATATATAATATTTTTTCAAAATGCTGTGCAAATATGTACCCGATTAAGGTGAATTAAAATGCAGCCTTATTAATGAGCAAAACGTTCGGGTGTTAAGCGCACTATTTACGCGTGGCTGGGAGCAGGTGTAGATTTCTTGTGTACCAACTAACATTTGGAAAATAGGAACATTTTAATGAATCCGAAAATTTACGCCAGAACCACTTTACACACGATTTACACAAAAATTCGTTCTGCTCGTGTTTCATGAATGAGACCCAATGTGTTTAGAATTTTTGCCTTTACAGGGACTTTAAATTAATGTTTTATGCCTGCATTTGATTAACATAAAATTAAAATACACAAATCAGACTTTCTGAAGAAAACAAATTATAAATAGTTTTTTATGAATTCAATTAATTAGACATACTTTTTGATTATTGAAATTTAATTAAACCATTAAAATGGAATTTGGAACTTAAAACAGAAAACACAGAATTTGGTAACAAAAAATAAAACCAATTTGAGAAAATAAATATAAAAAACTTATTTCATGGGGCTCTAAACGTACTTTTTTTTTTTAAACTTGTAATAAATTGTTGTTAAATTGTATAAGTTTCATGATTTCGATTAATTAGACATGATTTTTGATTACTAAAATTGTATTAAGTCCAAAAAAAAAAAATGGAAAAAACGGAATTTAAAAAAAAAAAAAAAATGGAATTTGGGGAAAAATAAAACAGATTTCATAGGGCCATATAACTGACAAGGAGCAAAGCCTTTCTAGTCTAGCTTGTCCTGTGCTGTTCTCCAACCTTCTTTCCTTTTGTGAGTCACTATGACAAAACATGATTTTCAGCCTTAGCATTATCTCTTTGGAAATTCCTAAGAAATTAAACTACACTAAATTGTATGCATCAGTTTGTAAAAAAAGCACTATAGTCACTCATACGGTTTCAATTTCACTTATTTCACTTAGTCACCAGTACATTTTAAAGGTGCACTCATTTGAACTTCATGAAAAGCTTTATCCCTGAGGAAATGAACTTTTGAAATATGTTTAAATGTGTATACATGTAAATATGTACACACAGATGAGATAAATACAGTTATATCAGAAGACAATAAAAGCTTTTTATGTAACATGAAGTGGGTCACCTCATGGAGGCTGCCATATTGGGATCACATGACCAGCCAAATACTACTCACTTCTCTTATTATCAAACACTTTCTTTATGAATAAAATATTTCTACAATAGAATCTATGTTGATTTCAAGCTACTAGTGTCAGTTCAACATAACATTAATGGAAAAAAATAAAATACTGCGTCAAGCTTAATACAACATAAAAATAAAAGCATGCTTTTAATTTGTAACAGTGATGTCATACCATATCTGTTCCTCTATCCAGCTGGCCAGATAATGTCTGACATCCAGAGGGAGTGTTTCTGTGTAGATTTCACTCAGCGTCTCAGTTGGCAGGTACTGTAACTGTGGGGAAATTTGCGCCCACAGCGCCATAGTGTGCAAACACTGCAACAGTAAAAATCACAACATTTGAAAAAAACTGCATTTTCAATTCCTTGGGAAGGAATCATTCACTAAAAATGAAATCTATGAAGATTACTAATTCTCATGATGTTCTAAACCATAGCTGTTTCCCATACAAGATCAGTTCATATGACCACATCAGTCAACCTCCAAAAAGCATCTCTATATTCAAAGTTTTCTAAAATCATCTGATCACTGAATTGGTTCAGTTCAATTTGCAAAGAAATAGTTGTACTTGTGTGGCTTCAGAATGCTTGGAATAAAACTACAAACAGTATGGACAACTTTTAAGGTGGTCCTTTTTGGAGCTTGACAGATGTGGTCTCTATAGACTGTCAGTGCATATAATATATTGAAAATATATGAGTTTCGTGGAAATAATTACAGAATTTGGGAAGAACTACACACAGATAAGACACTCATAAAATAAAATAAAACAAACTATCACAAATAAACAAACTAATGATTTAAACATGGTTCAATGCTTTGAATTAGGGACGTTGCTTTTTGCTTTTGCTAGGTTTACACATCATAATCATACAGAATAGAAAACTGCAATCTTTATATTAAAGACAAATAAACATTGTGTTTATAACAACTTCCCTATTCTAGGGATGGACTGAACAAACTGAATTGGAAATCTGAATTCTTCTATGCAAAACAAATGTCATTTTTAGAAATTCATAAATATCATCTGATGACAAGATAAAGCTCAACATTTTGTAGCATGCTGTATTTCAGGTTTTTTTTTGTTGTTTAATTTAGTGTAAAGAGCACAGGCAGATGTGTTGGGGAAAGAGCAGAGTGTGTTATTATCACTGCTCTGTGTGACTTTTGTTTGGGCAAGGGAGAAAAGACAGTATGTCTGTCTTATCTCTCCCCAACATAAGGGGACAGAAGACACTGTATACCACAGCACGCTTAACAAAACAACAGCCCGGCAACCCAACCATCACTAATGTAACAGGTTTGCTTACATACCGTACATAGATGGTCATTTTAGCACATAAATTAGCTATGCTGCATTGTAAGAGAAGATAATAACATATTTTATTGTGGTGTATAGGCTACACCAAATTTAATATGAAATGCCTCTGACCTTAGTCATTCTTGACCAAAACATTTCTTTAAAAATTTGTTTTTTTTTTGTAATGGAACTTAATTATTTGCACATACGATGAACACATATATTTTTCTACGTTTAGATAGACAGTTAAAGGTGAAATGCAAATTGTCAGGATCTAAAAGCGGAAACCCTTCTTCTAAGAAACACAAACCCAGTAATGTTATACGAGGTAAATGTGTTAACTGTAATAAATAAATGTGATCATGCCATCAAACATAATTAATCTCATTTATAATAATATTCTGCGAACATCAAAAAGATTTAAAAGGATGCTGTGAGTATGTCGATATTGTACGTTTCAGTGTCCGTAAAAATATGTGTATACTTTACATAGCCTACAAATTTCAATGAACAGATTAGATCATTTTGACAGGATACATTGATGGTTTCTAGTTCTACAAACCTACAAGCATATGTGGTGTGTTAGATTCAAAAGCACTGAAACCAAACTGTACCCAAAGGCATGTAAGCATGCTGGATCATGTCCATAACAACTGTGTCACTTCTCATTTCTTTCTGAAAAAGATGTTGATTGGTCTTGATCACACTATCAGAATTTTTTACACTAAAACCTTTTAAAAAACTAGGACCAGGCTTAAGCTGTGTGTATATGTTATTAGAAAAGTCATACAACTGAACAGCTAATCAGCATTTGTTATGAAATAACTTGAACCCCCTTAAAACTTGAAGGGACAGTTCACACAAAAATGGACAACACTGGAATTCATTGACTTTTGTTGTATGTACTTGTACAAAAATATATTTTGTGGACTATCCCTTTACACCATAAAGGAAAACACATAAGGTCACGAGATAAGGATCAGTAGTAACCAATATGTCTATCTAAAAAGCCTTTTCTTCTTTTTATTTTTTTACTATGCTAAAGCTTTTTTTTTTTCTAATTAAATATCAGTTTGACCAACCAATCAGTTTTATGAAAATTCTACAAAAATACAAACCAATATGTCTATTTAAATAGCCGATTTGTACTTTGTTAAAGCTTTTTTTCCTAATCAAATATCGTTTTAACCAACCTATCAGTTTTCGGAAAATTTTATACAAATATTTTCCAGGGATTTCTTCAATACTGGGGTAATCCCTTGATCTTTTGAGACATTAAGACATTAAAGGTCATGACTCATCTTTATTTGGGAATCCCTCTGTTCCAATTAATAGATCTGCATTTCCTCAATTTTTCTTTTTTTTTTTTGCTCCAAAGGTTTACTAGTATTAATATTTGACAAAGGGATTGGTGCAGCGTAGGTGTAGGTGAAAAAAAGACCACACCTATGTGCAGACATATCATCTGAAGATAAACCATTCAAGGGAACTATTTCATGCTATTACAGGATGTAGAACAAACAGATGACCTATGAAAATTCAAGTTCATTCTTAAATGTACACATGCATGACATGTATCACATATGAGACAACAGATAGTTGTGTTAGATTCCAATTGTGTGAACACCAGAACCTGTGCAGGAAAAACTGATCTGGTAAAAACATAGTGCCTATTTATGTAGCAGATAGAGCGAAAATAAATGAATGAATATAAGAAAGATCTTGAGGAAATAAGAGATGGCATATTCATGGAAGGATGGTTTTAAGGCTTGTCATTGGGTAGCCATATAAATCACGCCTATAGGTTTGCTTTCGTCTCTGCAGCAGATCACAGACAAAGCGTCACAGCTGCATTCTGTAATAACTTATCATCTGAAGAACACAAAACAGTTCTTTCTCTAACATAAAAAAGAATTACATAGAAATGTGTTTTTTTGTTCATGTTTATTACATTTTATGTTTATTAATCTTTCTTTTTCTTTTTCTTCAGCACTGTTATGTGCTACTGGCTGCAAAGCAATGTCATATTCTCTAAAAAATCTTATTTAATAATAGATCAGTGCCCTATTTTATGCATTTGCAGAGAAGAAAAAATCCAAAGGCTGCTCTTTCATAGTCCTGTTTCATTAAGGTATCAACATGGTCTCAGATGTTTATATTAAGAGAAATAAAAATTAAAACTGCAGTCCATAGCTTTTTTGGGTTAAAAATTATCCAAAATACATTTTTGAGAAAATACATAACCAGTCAGTGTTCAAAACTATCTGCTTGCCTTAGCTCGATTCAAAGCGGTAAGCTTGTAATAATGTTTTTAACTCCAGTGGTACTGGTGGATTTCCGCTGGAGATTCGAGCATGTCTTTGGGTCATTACGTCACATCTGTACACATAAAGAAGGAGTCTCGGCTAGTCGGCTATATTGCGTGTGAGGATGTTGGAGGTGGAGATTTATAGCCTTTTCTCACAGCACTTGATATAATTAAACTTATCAATTTGATGGCGGATCCAGTAAGGTTTAAACGACAATCACCAGTGACAACTGGAGACTCACCCGTTGTAAAATACAAAAGGTTTCGCGTGATATGATAAGCGATTGTTAGATTTAATCAGCGCGATTTACTGCAATGTCAGAACCAGAACAAAAGAGGATGTTACTTGCTTGTTCAGATGACATTTTCCGGTGAAAATTATTATGTTGGTCATACTTCCAAAAAGAATAATCTGTGATTCTGAATGCCAGTATCCAAACCGGCGTGGTGACTGACAGCCGCACACTCTCCTCAAACATTGTGTTCATCCGCGCTGTGCCGTGTCGAGGCGATGTCGAAGTACAACTCACGTAAAGTTGATAATTCCGCGAATGACTGCAACTGCAGATTTCGAACAGAGATGGCGACAAAGAGGAAAAACTGCGGACTGCAGCTTTAAAAAGGGACAATCTAAGCATCTAAAATTAATGTGGATGGGATAGCTCGGACAACTGGGTTTTGGAGAAATCTGATGAGATGGGTTTTAGTGCATATTGAAATATCTCTGTTTGAATGCACACTTCAGTTTCTGACATTGTTGAAATTATTTCTGAAAATCCAGAGGAAACACGTGTGAGAATACTGGTGTGTTTTTCTAAAAGGAAAAATCCGAGAAGCAAGAGTTTTGCTCTTTGTTCAATCTTATTTGACTAAAAGAAATAACAAATGTAATATTAAAGAGTTATATAAAGTTAATTCGCTGTAATGGAATAGAAAGCAATCTCTCAACCTCAAATTCTCACAGCAAACCAGCCAAACTTTGACAGCAGTTGGCATCTGATCTGACACATGGAGCACTCATCCACTTTACCCATTATTATCTCTTTTCATTGAATGGATGACTGCATTCATAAAGGTCATATACAAATGACAGAAACGAACAAACTCACAGCAGTTTTCTGTCAGTACCCCCATCACATTTTCTCTTACACTTACGAGAAACTTACATTTACATCTTAACACAGTATTTTAAAGCATTTAAAGCAATTAGTCATTTTAAAGCATTGGACACTGATCCAAACACTATTGATGCTAATACTGTGATTGCTGCGAACTACTGGCTTCACAGAAAATTTTAAAAGTAGCTATTATTTCCTCAGACTATAGTAGGGAAAGACATTCTACTTTTTTGTTTTGCGCAGAAGTGTGTAATTTCACAGTTTCCTAATTAAACTTTAGATATAGATAGATAGATAGATAGATAGATAGATAGATAGATAGATAGATAGATAGATAGATAGATAGATAGATAGATAGATAGATAGATAGCCAGCCATCTAATCTACTTTACACCGAAACAAACACGTCACTAAACCTTTTTATGCATGTAAAAAGGCCACAGACAGCAAAGCCATCCATTAGTATTCATATAATATTTATGAAAAATAACAGCATGAGGGTGTTACATCCCTAAGACTGAGACTGGCACATGCAATGTTACAACAACAGTGAGCAAGGTTAGTAAAGGACAGACCACTCTCTAGTGCACAAAAGAACATAAAACACCAATGCCACATACATTTGGGGAACAGAAAGTAGGGCGTGAATTTATGAAGGTGCTCGTGCTACACTAAACGGTTTCCACTACACCATAGCCTATAACGTGACATTCCGCACAGTCTACTACGTTTTAGCCATTTAAGTAGGCCTTCCTCCCTTGCTGTTTTCAGTACTGTCCGATACAGGGAACTTGTTTAATATGTGAATTCTCATTAAATCAATGTCTCGCGTATTTTTTCATGGAGTAAAGTTAGCCTATAACATGACCATGTAACGTTAGCCTAATTTTTTGGCGTCGTTTAAATAGTCTATAACGGCATAGCTAAACCAACTTCACAACTATACTGAGATTAAATTATTATAAAGTGGGATTTTTAATCGCAAAAGAACTCTTTCATGGATTCGTTTTGTTTGTGGTTGCTCGCTTCGCTCGAATTTTCGTGTAACGTTAGGCTACAGTAGAGGAAAGTGGGCTATTTCAAAACTCATGTTCACAACAAGATTAAGCAATAATTCAGGTCGCGATAAACTTACTGTACCTAGTTTATATAGCTAAAATATACAATGATGTGAGAACATAACTTACCTGATTTCGACGCCAGCTGTTTTAACACACGTAAAGAGATATAAGTCTGCGCCTTCCGTGTGCGTTTGTTGTTTTTTTTTCTATCCACCTACTTTCACTTTACTGAAGTTGCTGCCTATTGGCCATTCTGATGCAGCTCTTCTACCTGGTGAATGAGAATCTTTATCCGGTTGGACATAATTTAAAATAATTCTATCTGTATAATTCTAATAATAAATATATTCTGTTTTATTTACATATACAGTAAATAGGCTATGTAATTGTTTTTAAATCCAGTTTTATGTGTGTGACCGAAAATTCTACCTATTTTAATATGTTCACATTTTTATCTTCATACTTCAAGGGATACTTTTGTGAGTATCTTCGTATTTTAATGTCTTCATAATTATCTAACTACTGAACACCTTCATATTTTGGTAAGTATCTTCATATTTTATTTATAGGCTACTCCCTATTTTAATCGTTTTCTGTATACGTTTGAATGTTCATTAATTTTTAGATTAACGTTATTTTATTTTGTATTATTACAATTATTTTATTAACATTAATAGCAACTTATTATATACGCCTATACATGATTTTCCCTTCTCTCTGTCACTCTAGGCTTAAATTTGCGTTTATGTTTTAGCGTCGCAAAAGTTAGCCACAAAGAACTTGAAAAACAAAATCAAAGAGAGAAAATCCTCTTCTTAAATATCCAAGAATAAATATTTACCAACGACGAATATAAATATATTATAGCCTAAGTTATAAATGGCATATATATATATACACACTATAAATTCTAATTCGCCTAAAAAATTAAACAATAAATTTAGATTTTTTGTTGTTGTTATAGGCTATTTAATGAAGTACATTAAATTGTGCTGAAAACCAGTGTTCAACCAAAGAAGAACAAATGCAACTGCATTACCACCACCTGACCACAAAGCCATACAAATAGTCCTATATGATGTAACATGTCGCCTTGCTAGCTCTCTCTCTCTCTCTCTCTCTCTCTCTCTCTCTCTCTCTCTCTCTCTCTCTCTCTCTCTCTCTCTCTCTCTCTCTCTCTCTCTCTCTCTCTCTCTCTCTCTCTAGTCCAGTATAGCTATATTGTGTCTGGAGAGCCATAGACATATGTCTATGTGGAGAGCTAGCAAGACAAAATCTCTTGCATCATATGCTTGTTGAAAAGAGGCGACTTTCTATATTTCAGGACAAAACGTCACTTGTAGGCGGGGAAACAGCGCCATTTCTGCTAGAAACGCTTGATTTCCAGTAAGGACTTTCGAAAGGGGTTTCCGCTTCTCAAAAAAGCTCTTTTTTCCCCCTTTTTTTTTCTAATTAGAAAAATTTCTAATTATAATATCTTCTTGCCCGTCCTCAGGAAAGACATCTACAAAGGATATTTTTATTTTAATACACTAAAAAAATAAGCTGGCAGTGCTGCAATTCTTCACTAAAGAATTAGCGATTTTGAGAAAAATATACCAATTTAATGTTTACGGTTTTAAAATAAGCAAATCCAGCAATGAAGTTATTAGAATTTTTAGGCTACCTTATTCTGAATAATTCATGAATTTTGGATCCCGAGAGGTGAAATGTTGCCATGTCCGACCCTTATAAGCGACTTGTTTTTTCTTTTGCTTGTATAGTTTTTTTTTTTTTACCCTTCCCAAGAAGCGTAGAAACCAATAAAATCGCTTATTCACGCGTAATTTTTGTGAGAAACGTCGCTTATTTGGGGTATGTTTTATCCGTTTAGTTTGCTTGTTCTGTAGCGGATCTGGCAACACATATCATCGTTTACATCAGGAAACGTTGAAGTCAGGAAACTGCATCGTCATTACTACGACAGTACGACTAATCGTTTCAATTCTCACACCCACACCCAGAATAACATTATCCCTTTGCTAGCCAATATCTTTGAGAAATATATGACTAAAGAACAGATCAAGGCGTAGCATAAAACAAAACATAAGATATACACACACAAAAAAGCATTATTTTGTGCTACCACTAGAGGGCAGTGGGTCATAGCCAATGTGAAAGCGAACTGATCTGTGTTGGTCAATTGATGTTGTTATGTAATAAAATCGAATGGTACAACTGAAAAGTATACTAAATGTAAAATAATACTAAATGTACAAGTTTCAAACATTATATTAAATCCAAACACATCTCATATGTAGCATGGCCATGCAGGGAAGGTTGTTTCAAGCATCAGGCATTCCTCATATCAAAGCCCATTTCCTGACCAGTCGTGATACATTTGGCCTGTCTGAGGCTGTTGGGATAGGTCAGCAGAATGCTGTATGAGCTTCAGGGGTTGTTTTCATTTCCAGCTTTAACTTAAACAAAGTCAGAGTTGACTTGATCAATCTCCCGCTGATAGAGTTTGACAACCCCAAAATGGAAATTCTGAAGTAACAAATGTTATCAATAAAAATTCCATAATAGTTGTGCAAAGTGTTTAATTTCTATCACAACAAACCATTTGCAGCTGTTTTGAAAAGTAACAACTGGAAAAAATAAACACATGCGAAGGAATAGACTTTTCTAAGACTCTATCATGCTATCAGAAATTGATCCCATAGTTGATATTTTTGTGAGGCAATTTAAAATTGTAAATTGTATATCTTTTTTTAAATAGCATAATAATGTAAAAATAAATAAATAGATTCATATTTTTTTAAAGGAAGACAAAAATCAACAAATTGTCAGTGGATTGACCAAGATTGTTTGTTTGCTCTATTTGTTTCTCCCCTCCTTCACAGCTTGTCATTATTTCGGGGTCCTCTTAGGTAAAGACCCAGCGCTGAGCAGCACTGATGGCAGCACATCTGGAATCAATACAGCCAAACTGGGTAACTAGAGGGTTTGGGGGGGGGGGGGGGGGGGGGGGGGGGGGGGGGCTAAGGGTTGGGCTAGTTACGGTTTTGGCCCTGGGGGTCCATGTGTCCCTGACTCCTAAATAGACTTGATTGCTAGCAGCTGGCAGCCTTAACTCACCCTGTGTCAGGGATCTCCTCTGATGTCAACCTTGTCTGTATCAAGGCTAGACAGGACAAAGGAGAGCAAGACATGAGCAGTCATGAACAGAGGTATAGGCAGGGTCTATGGTCTACTTGCTGCTCTGCATCTGAACCCTCTGGTTTCCATCATGATCTTTTCTGTACCTTTATGTGAAAACATGAAGGAAAATTGCCATTTAAAAATACAACAAAATAGAACAGATCTGAACCAGATATAATGTACAGTTGTGGTATTGGCACCCCTGGTAAATATGATCAAAGATGGCTGCAAAAAATAAATCTGCTTTGTTTATCCTTTTGATCTTCCATTAAATAAATGCGCGAAAATCTAACCTTTCATTGAAGTAAAAGAATTGAAAGTGGGGGGCCAATGACATTATGAAATAAATGCTTTTCTACAAAACACGTTGGCCACAATTGTTATTAAAAACATTTATTTCATATAATTGACAAAACTCAAAACATATATAGGCCTATATGATATTTTAAGACAACCAGAGGTAAATTTACTTAAATTTTAAAATCACCCATGATTATTTTATGCCAAGACCACTCTTAGATGTAAACATGCTTTGTAATATAGCCTACTTTAGCTTGGGGCACAAGGATTTTTATTTTTGTTTTTGTTTTTTACAAATGCTATCTACAGCTTTCATCCTCCAGACGCTTGATGCTCACATCTGTTCAACTAGAATGCAGAATACATTTAGCAATAGTCATGAATATTATTTTGTTCATTTTTTTTTAACACAGAGGAACTGTGGGATTTTACATTCTACATTACATTGAGGTATTCATTTTAACTCTTTCCCCGCCATTGACCGGCTTTCTGTGTTTTTACTGTTATACAGTAGTGGGCGCTATTACGCATCTTCTGAAAGAGTAGTGAATCTCAGGATCAAGACAGGCGAAAAGAAGATGCAGATAGCAGAAACAAGCGATAGCATATGTAAGCAGATGGATAGGCTACTGTTTGTAAAATAACGTGATCATCAACATGCTCAGATATTCCTACAACAAAATATTCCAAGTGGTGCTCACTGCAGAGCCAAATGACACCCAGCTCCTCCTGTTTTTTTGAAAATGCTGGCGGGAAATAAGTTAAATAGTTGTAAAATGTTTATAACACATGTGCACTTTTGTGTTTTACAACATTATATATGGCGAACATATAAAAGTGTCCATTGGCTCTCTTGACAGTTTTTTTTACATACTGATCTTAACAGTATTTTTTTTTTTTTTTTCATAATGCTGAATCTGTACACTTTGTCACTCTGTAAATTTAGATTCTGCTCTAGCTCTGGAGTCAGAGAGGTCGAGTTCAAGCTGACCAGGTCACACCAGCAGGGATGGTTGCTATGGTGAGGGTTATAGTGGAAGAGATATAGGGATTGATGGGGATTTTTTGCAAAACACTCCAAAAAATTGGTGCTAGTTAACATTGTGTAAACAAATTGCAAACTGTTCCTGTTTCTAACTGCCCTTGATTATGGCCCTTTAATTATTAGAGCTCATAAAACTGATATTGAACCAACTATCTTTAGCCTATCATTTGAGCTTTTTTTATTTATTTTTTTACACCCTTTCAGTAACAGCTGAAATATAAAAAAATACAATAAAATTAGTAAGTCCACAGCTTAATTCACAGATTTTTTTCAGTGCATGATAATAATTGACCTTCAAATATTATTAACCCTTAGTGCTTCAACAAGGTGAGTGTGTTATTGAGTGGATGAATTGAAGGATATTATTTTATTCTACTGGCAGCTGGAGAACAATTATCCTTCAGATAGAGACTGGAGGGCAAGGACTGTGTGTAACCCTCCATTATTCATCTTAATCAGAGACTTAAACATCAGCATCCATCAGCACTTTACATTAAATTTGAGATTAATCTCCAGACTTTAAAAATATATTGGACATAATGGGGGGGTCAACGTTTTATAGTTTAAGACATCAGTTGCAAATACACACATAACAATACGGTCCTCTCACCATCGGTGCTTGGGCCCCAATTAAGCCAATTCCCATCTATATGGACTTTTTTTCATAAGATTTGTGCTTTTTTTGAGGACTGTATTGAACCCTTGACCACAGATTGAACATCTTTATTTGACACTGGAAGCAATCAAGATCATTTAATAGTATTTAAATGTTAAACACTGAATGAAATTAAGCAACATAGTAAGGAACTTTGGAAAAGATCCAAAGTTTTTATTTGGTTTATTCATAGCCATGGCCCTCAATATCCCACAAATCTTAGTTTCACTGACCTTATATTTTGAGATCATGTGTAAGAGAAGGCAATTCACCCTTACAATCTGCCACTTCTTGACATGTACAGGAAGTTGAGCCATGAGAGATTTTTGACATATTCTCTTTAATATTGTGTAATACTTTTTTCTTAAAATACAGTCTTTTTTGAGGTAGACCATTACATTTCAAGAACATTTTTAAAACAGACATCAAAAAAGACATGAAATAAATATTTTCATGTACAATATGCTGCAAAAATGAGGTAGAAATGGTTACAGAAAATGTACAAGAACAAGATCCAAGAACAAAGTTACTGTACTAATAGTTTTAAAACAGCTAATTAATGACAATTTCGTTGGACAAACTGTTCAATTGCTCAGTATCTTTTGTGTTCTTGTTTGAAATCAGCCACATAAATGACTTATATCATCTGAATAAAACCGGTGTATCTTTGGTTTTATGAATAAGAATTGCTGCTGAATTTTTCTACACAAGATGATGCATTTGTGTGCTGTCCCTGAGTCTGCCAGGTTCTGTAGTTTTCTGTCTCTTCGGCACTGATCAATATGTGCTCCTGGGGTCATTCTGATTGACCTGTATGGCATGAGTGAAGCCACCAGCTGTACTTGAAGAGCCGAACAGTGCTATAGGGTTACTGGACATCAATCAGAATATGGCTTCTCCAAAAGGCTGTGGGGATATAGAGGAACGGGGGGTGGGAAATCAGCTCATCACAAGGCTGTACAGGACCAACAACCAAGGGACAACCCATTGTGTTAAAATGGGTGGGCTGGGGGTAAAGGAGTGATCAGAGGCTATGTCATGTCACAGCTGATCGAAATTCAACAATCCACAAAAGCCATTCTACAGACAATATAAATGAACTCAGTCTCAGTTTCTTCAGCAGTGGTGATTTGAAGACATTTGATAGCTCTAGCTTTTGTGTACCTCATAGACAAAAAAGCTAAAAAATATTTAAACATTGGTAGAGGCTGCTCCATCTGGATTGTCTATTTGATGAGCATGTTTACAATTTTGTATACATTACACATGTATACAAATAACACAATTTATGATTAGACATGATTAGCTATCAATTATATAAAAAACAATCTGATTCTGATCTTTGGGTTGTTGTTCTTTGTATTGTTTTCTTGCTCTTCAAGGACTTACATAGTATATGTCAGTGTCCTTCAAAAACGGCCTATGTACCTTGGTCTCTAAAAACAGTTTGTCCAACAAAATCAAACATCTGGTTTGCCATCTAACACGTCATGAAGACAATCATCACTCCATCAAAAATCTACATCAAAAATAAAGGGTTAGGATAAGGGAAAATGTTTTCATATAGAGTTAAAACATGGATTTATGGCATCAGATATTCTCTGAAATACCTGAATTACATTCATTATTTGTCTTGGTAGCATTTTCAAGTTTCACCTAAGAGGTAACAGCACAGATGCAGTGTGTATACATGTCTGTGCCAGGTCTGTTGCTCACCTCCAACCTCAATGCCTACTACTAAGACCCTAAGATTACATACATTCTTTAGTTATCATTTCTGAGGTAAAGAAATTCTTCCTGAGTATTTTCAAACAAGACTACATATACTAATAAAATAAACTGAGTAAAGCAGAAGAGAGAAATAGTCATTCATGGACCCTTGCTTTTTTGTGTGTGTTTGAGGGTCCAGAGCAAAGGCTCTCACAAGATTGTGAGGAATGTGATGGGTTGTTTACATGATATTGTATTTGGAAACGTATTACGGTACCTTTATTAAAGTGTTCTGAAAGAAGTGTGCCACTACCAACAGTAAAAGTCTGTCTCTTTCTATTATCTGACTTTTTATGGATTAGCAATTTAATACTTTTTGGGTAGCAACGCATACTCTTTTGGTAAAATGACCATTTTGACAAAGTGCACAAGATATGACCGCGGCCTAACAATCAATTTTGCAAAACACTGTTGCTTTCTTTCCCAAGAGGTTGCATAACAGTAAATACCTTTTGGTGAATGCTGTAACTTGGACAATATAATGTTGTTGAGCATTTTTGGTAAAAACAGAGTAGTTTTGATAAATCCTAAGCCCTTGAACACCAAATGATCTAAGTAAATCAACGCAAAAGATACAACACCACTGGAGTGGACTGGCAATAAATAGGATCCTGAGAGTTGCAATCTATGGGGGTATTTTTTCAGGAAAAAGTCAAGTGATCTATAACCTCCAGGTTTATTCCAGGATCAAGGCTAATTGGAATTCCAGTGAAATTCCAAAATATAATTCAGATATTCTATCAGATAAGCCAAGCAACTAATAAATGCCCCTTCAAGAAAGGCCTAATATTTCATTTCTTTGGGAAAAAAATAAAGTATATGTATATTTATAGAAAAACAACACACAATGGCATGTTCCCTAGATTAAATGCATTAAATCCAAAATGCCTCCCATTCATAAACTGTAATTTCTCAACGAGTTCCACTCTTTTGGCTGCAACAAGTATTTAAAAACAATTGTAGCAGTCTCCAACCAGTGGTTGACTAGGTTCTCAGTGGCTATAAACCTTGCTCCACTCCATACAAGTGTCCAGATCTTTGGAGGTGCTGTGAGGACGTACCTTGCAGAAAGCATTTTCAAAGTCTTGAAGAGTAGGGGAAGAAAGGGATGCAGGGAGGCCGTGCAAGGGCACGGGTGCCGAGGCAGAAGCTGATGCCAGAGCCTGCTGGCAGAGCTGCAGCAGCTCCCAGACAGAGAAGCCTTCTGAACGCTGCAGTACTGCTGACATCTCCCTTTCACCCAGACTGCAGCCTTGGGGCACCAGTGCCTGCAGAAGCACGTGCCTGCGTGTGCTCGCATCTGGCAGGCCTATATGATAACGCTTGGAGAAGCAGCGCAGAAGGGGATCTTTGATCAAATCAGGCCGTCTTGTGGTGCATACCACCAGAACCAGGCTGCTCTGACCATGTTGGATCTTCTCAAGCTGGGCCTGCAGTTGCTGTCTGAGACCTTCCTCTTCAACGGACTCCACCTCACTGAGCAGCACCACTGAAGGTTGTCGGGCCGTTGCCACCGAGAACAGGGTGATCAATAGTTGCTCTGCCTCTCCTTTCAATTTAGAGGCCAAAGTTGCACCACTCAGCCTATAGAAGGTAGCACCCAGTTGAGATGCCATGGATCGTGCCAGTGTGGTTTTTCCCCCTCCTTGAGGGCCAAACAGCAGGACGGTTCTGGGTGGGCGGATGGCAGGGTTGGGTCGCAGGACAGGCCACAGCAGGTCCTCCTCCAGTGCTGCTTTGATGTGACAGTTCCCAGCCAGTTCACTCCAAAGCAAAGCTGGACTGCAATCCTGCAGTTCTCGGCTTACTAGCTCCAGCATTTGGGGCTCCATGCTTTTCATAGGATCTGAGCACTTCTGAGAACGATGTTGGGAGAAGCCCTGCTCTGCACCTCTGTTCTCCCCAGTCATGGCTGCTGGGGGGCTGTAGTCCCCTGCGGCTCCATATGTTGGTGAAACCAAGGGCTTTAGCCCAGTGTACTTTTCAACTTCGTCTCCTTCGAGGCTTGACTGAGATGAAGGTTTACTAGGCTTAAAGGTTTGAGGATCTGTGCTGGCCGTTCCAAAGCCATTTCCACGGCACTCAGCTTTATCAGTAACCCCATATGGAGAATCTCCCCCAGCTTTCATGGGGTCATAGCTATACTTCCTATTGCGTGAACTATCTCCATCTTCCTCATCCAGGGTCATCTCAAATGCTTTTCTCTTCAGAGAGCCCCCAGGCTCTGAGCCCCCTAGACTGCTGTTCTGATAGCCATAGCTGCCACCAACCACTGTGGGTCTTGATGGTAGTGGAGAGGGGGCAGCTATACCCGAGGGGATGTAAGGGGCTGTTGGGTGGGTGTAGCTAGGAGCAAGGCTAGTCTGGTGAGGGTAGGTGCTAGGGGGGTAGTTATACACAGGCGCAGAAGGTGTGTAACTGGGGAGAAGTGTGGGGTTAGGCTGAAGGGCATGTAACGAGGTTGGTGGAAGTGCTGAACTGGGTTGGGGACAGTACGCTGATGAGAGGTAGGTGCCGTTGTAACTGGGGGGGTAGTCACTGGAATGGGGCCCACTGCAGGAGCTGCTCCCACTGTAGCCTGAGTCTGAAAGGTTACTGTTAACAGCTGACACATTGCCAGAGCCTGGTGGGCCTGCTGATGTGGGAACCACCTTTGGCCCAGACAGACCATCATGAGATGAAGGAGGCACTAAGGAATATGCCCCATCAGTGCTGTGCGTAAGAGGCCAAGGTTCCAATTCGCTTTTCTGGCCTCCGTTGAGAGGCCCAAAGGCTCCAGCCTCAGGGTATGCGCCCACAGCTGGGCGTTCATATGGTGAGTCTAGCATGCCTGAGTATTTCTCAGCGTAGCGCTTCAGCAGGTTGGAGGCAGTAAGGGCTGAGATGTCGTCATTTGCCCAGGCATAGCTGTAGGAGCCACGGCCGCGGCTGGGGTAGAGCTCAGACTTGTGGGCAGGGGATGAGGTGGTGGAAGACACGTCCAAATGCTGCTCAGGCCACTGGCTCAAGGGCTGGGCATGCTCCGGGTTCCAGTGCATCTTCAATAGGCCTGCAGGAGATAGCAATTTGTCAGATTATGCAAGAATTTGCTGTATAACAAAAGTGTAAGTTCCAAGCATTTACAAATCAGTATTAGATGGATATAGTGATTTTTTAAAAGAATTATAAGAAAAGTCTAAATGACTAATGGCAAATTATGGATGATTGTGGGGCTGATTTTTTGTTGCCATTTTGCTTGGCGAGACAACTCTTTTGGTATTGTGTGCATGCACACAGAGGGAGTCTTTTTTTTCTGCAGTAAGTATAAAAGAGAAGGGCTGTGAATTTTCTCCTTTCAAGCCCTCAGCCATGTAGCAGCCTTGTGTTGCCATCTGCAGTTCTCCCAAAGGAGAAACTGTTATCACCCTGCGCATGTTTCTCTCAATACATCCCCTCCCACCACCACAGTTCATCCACAAAGCAATTTTCCAAAAGGCCTCTATGGCCAGCTTGACAGAAGGAGGGAAAGAGAGAGAAGAAGGAGCAGAGGGGGAGAGGGAGGGACCAATATGGGGAAAAGGGGGGTTGGGACGGGTGGACGAAATAGTTGTGCTATTCATTGGCCACTTCCCATGAAGCACTGGGAGTGTGGAATGCCCTTTCCTCTGGCTTTCTCCAGGACAGCTTTCCTGTGATTAATTATGCTTTCCCAATGCTAAGGGGGTCTTAATGCACATGAGGAGTGGAAAATAAACCTCAATAAAAAAATGTCCACATCCAGTCTCTGCCATGTCCTTTAATAACGCAAATTCCTTTATTCAGAGCTTTTCTGTGCTTCTAAAATTGCAATGCACTTAACAGCATCACAGTTTAAAGGCAATCATAAGAGATGAATTCTAAAATGAACAATCAAAAATCAAAATGTTAATTATATAGGTGTATGCTTAATTAATGTCTGTTAATAGTAAAAAGATCTTAATACTTCAATTGGAATTTTTTTTATTTCTTGGTATTGAGAATTTCATGGAGCAGAGCTTTAAAACCAGCCATTTCATGAGGGTCTGCAACTGCACCTTCCAGAGGCATTAGCTAAATTCCACACATAGCTTGGCATTATTGAACTGTCAGGAATCAGCCTGGGGTGAGGGCTACAGGGGGAAATGGGGAAGTAAATGAAAGAAACTGCAAATCTTCATCATAGGCTGCAATCGGAGGAGAAAGTGATGATTTGTTATTCGCACTTCTGTCAGAGTATGCAAGCTGCTGCTTTATTGCCATTTAAATCAAGCCTCAGTTCTGTATGCTATGTTCCGTCTTACGGTTTTCTCCCAAAAACATGGCCCTCCCCCTTTGTGTGCTCTTTCTGTTTCTCAAACTCTCACCCCTCCCGTTGCCAAACCTTCCCATGTGTGTCTTCAGATTACGCCTGCTATTTATTCCAAAAGATCACACCAACAGACCAGATGGCCATTGGATTACCATGTCCTTCATATTCATCTCTAGATCCTCAAGGTCCCCACGTCCAAACTAACATTTTACCCCTATTTCTAATATAACTACAAGATAAAACATAAAAACGACTCCGAATATGTAAACAAGGTGAACACAGGTAAAGTATTTGGTCACTGTCCAGTCAGTAGAAACAGTGTATATCCAGCAGGACAATCCCATCTGCAGGCTGGTTTGTGAAGTGCTGTATGGAGCACAATAATGGGGCCAGTGTGCGACAGAGATGGATGGCAGCCCAGGGGAGCTCATAAAACCTGCAACGGATAGGAAAGGAGGAGGGGGAGTGGACAGCAGGCGCTCCGGCCGCCGTGTGTGCATGTGCATGCACGCGCATGAGTCTATGTGAGAGGATGGGGTTTGACATTAGAGAGGTCATTCAGGCGGCCAAACTGCTGTCCACTCCATCAATATACATGAGTGTGTGTGCACCAAGACACACGGGAAATCGTTTCCAAATTGGACATGGAAGTGCTATTCGGGTAAGGCTACTTCCAAGAGGAACAGTTCCTCTAAGTGTCCTACTCAGCTAAAAGTGCTACCCATTAGTGTTGTCAAAAATATAGATATTTCGATACGCATCGATGCTGAAATAACTGAAACGATTCTAATACTCCAATACTTACTGCACATTCTCACTCTCTCTTCCCTCCAACGGCGAGTTGACTCACCTCTTCTCACTAACATGTCTCATTTGCTCCGTGTTACATGGGTTGGGGGAATTGCACCTAAATTTACTCATTTCTGTAAGTTTTTACGCTCAAACCCAAAGCACGCACACCACTAATCTATATAAGTGGCGCGCACATCTCGTGACATCTCGAACAGCTTGTGAGTACCAAATTGAGTTCTATTTTGTGGCTTATTGCACTTAAACGATCAAATGATGTCAAAATGCCCATCTTAGCGAGTATTCAGGTAAACACATTTGAGAAAGTAAATAGTTGAGAAAGAATTTGCATGTTGTGTAACAAACAGTATATTGGATCCGCGCATAAGCTCTTAAAGTGACAGCAGTCTAATATACCTGCTGCTGTCTGTCATGTTAATCAAAGAAAAAAAGAAAAAAAAGAAACACTTGTCTTGATTGAATTACTTTCGTAACTTTCATTTTTAGCATTAACCTGTATTTAATTTTTACAATAAATAAAATAAAACTATCCAGTGTTATTTTATATTTGATTACTTTATTTAATTTCTGTAGTATTTCTTACCCAAATACTACTGGTAGACCCACCTGAAAAACTTAAAACCATGTTTATTTAATTTTATTCTATTGTATTTATTTGTGCTATCATTTGCAATTTGTTTGTCTGTTCTTATTTTATAAGAATCTGGTCTGTATCTGTTCACTTGTCTTTTTTGTGTGTGTAAATTTAAAGGTATAGCGGAGGATTTTTTTTTTCCGGGTGGGTAGTCTATACTATTGGTCCACCTAAGTGTCAATCATTCTGGTGATATGTTTACGTAAGGCCGTCGTACATGCTCGTCCCTATGTAGTTTTCGCTTTCTGCGCATGCGCACTTTCAGGTGTATTAATTTATGTGCGATGAGTTACGGTTTCAGCCATTCCTTTGAAAATGGCTGAGGGTCGAAAGAGAAAAAATGTATACGAAGTGTATGATAAGAAGAGAAAGGCCGCAGAATATAGAAACAAGACCAGAGTGATTTTGGGTGAATATTTCACACACTGGCATGCGCTAAAAGCACAGGTTGGGCTTCCCACTGATGCCGCAGTCGCGAAGATTCTACTAGACAGGTAAAGTTTGTCATGCTATTTGGAGAAATCCATTTAAAATCACTGCTAGTAAAAGTTAATGTAAGCTATGATTAGCGATGCTAGCCCTGGCACAAGTCATGCAAATAGAGTGTTGCGCATGTGCATTTTTAAAAAAATTGGAGAGGGCGGGTCTTCTCTAAAATTCGGAAAGATCCTCCGCTATACCTTTAAGACTCAAATAAAGCCTCCCTGTCCTCTGTGTAAGCTATTGCCACAAAATTGCCCAAATTATATAAAGAAAATATGAGATAATAAAACTAACGTATGGCAGCATATATAGCAGTTTTCCCTGTGGTATCAAAAAAATGGTATCGAATAATCAATATTTTTCAAGGTATCATCGAAGTTAGAAATTCCAGTATCGTGACAACACTGACACTACTACTCATTAGTAATGAATCAACCTGTTCTGCAATTAGAGCTATGCCTCAGCAGGGACTATCAAATAATCTAGATGTGATTTAAATGTGTTAAAAGTGTTTCTATTTAAATCACCACAGCAGCTGAAATTAACTCATTCTGGGCATTTGAGAATAGATGGTCCAATTACACTGGTAGAAGTGGGACTGACCACTGAAGGATATTCATTTCAGTGAATAAATGACAGTATCAAACCAAGAAATAATTTATCAAATGTGCCAAAAGAGAGTGAGATGATACGTTTTGATAAATATAGCAGCAGTCGCATATGAACAAAGACTGTTCTCGTTAAGATTAGACAAACATCAAGCTCCTGAACTCAATTTACATTTTAAGGTTCTTTTTTGCATGACAAAAACTGTACATTTGTCTTGCTAAAGCATTTGCAGCATAACATGTATAATGAGAAATAAAAAATAATGATTGACAATACATTATTAATTCTATTATTTAATATTAATAACATTCATTTTAACTAATACAATTAAATATCAGTAGTGCAAAGAAATATATTTATTTTTTATATATTTTTATAGTAGCAGATATCTAATAATTTTCAGCAAAATTTACCACTACCATTGTAAAAATGCACTAGTTGCAGTAAGCCATAATTAAATCATTCCCTGTTTAACCTCTAAATGATCAAGTGCACCTTTAAACAAAAATAATTTAAAAAAGAGAGAGACTGAATTGAACAGGTAATTAAGAAGATAGATAAACCAAAAGGCAAAACATTGTGTATGAGAAATGCTGGAAAAAGTGCAGCTTTATCTCAACTTTGTGTCTCAGCATGGACACAACAACATTTCTGTCTCCCTCTCACACGCACAAACCTAAATTATAGCCACTAGACCAGTTCTAATCACACACCATTAACTACAGATGCTTAAACAGAGCTATAGAGCAATCCTGGCCATTGCTTTGTGTGAGCAGCAACGAATAGCTTGCCGTGGTGTGGCTCTGTGCGGGTCCGAGGCTGGCAGGGAGACAGATGTTTCCACTGGTCGCCTTACTGTCTGTGTATCCATTGTTGCACAGCCCATCCAGCAGACGTCCTTCTGGCCTGACAATCCTGTTGGTCCTGAGACAAAAGCTGAGGGATCCTATTGTCAGAGGCCTGCCTAATTATGGAAATCTTATTAATCTATTCAGGAGCAGTGCGCTGACAGCCTTTGTGCTGTCCTGGGATTTATTGAGGGTTCCTTTGGAGATGTGCGTGTGTGTTTGTTTGTGTGCGCCATCTTGATATTTCACAAATATCATTGGGTTTTAATAATCCATTTCTAGATTTAAAAAAAAAGTTAGGATAACCAAAATATTAGTTATGACTCTATGCGACTACAAGCAGGATGTCGGAGCAGAAG